GCAAAATAAAATGCCGAGCTGCTCGGTGGTGCCCATCTCGGCGAAAAAATCTAAGTGTGTTAGTAAGAAACTGACTTGGCACAAACCATTTGAAGTTTATATAGAAATTAGTATGGGAAAACCAAAATTTTGGTTCATATCTATCTCAAAATTCACCAGTTTAGTCTGTTTAAGAAAATGATAGCTGCGCTTGATGAAAATTTTCTCAGCTACAACTTTGTTCAAGATCACTTTTCGATTAAATGTAAGGAACATAAGTTATTAATGATTCCAGTCACTGATGTCTTATGATTATGCTCAATCAACAGTTCAACATGCAACATTGGTGTTTCTGGAGCGATTAATAGGTCACAAAAATCATGGCTACTATGTCACACTGCAGAATACAGTGTTGCCCACAGAACAACTGCTTGATCATGCAAAAAGATTATCAATCTCTTAAACAATTAATAACAATTGAATTTGATATTTCGCTGAAAAACGATATTCGGCAGTTGTAGCTGAGGAAATTTCCCATAAGAATAACGATAGAACTTGTTTATAGTCCAATATGGAAAAAGGCTAGAAGGCAGTAAACAAAAAGTTTGGGTTTTCCATAGTAATTTCCATATAAATTTCAAATGGTTTGTGCCAAGTCAGTTTCTTACCAAATGAGTTTAAATTTTGGGAGGCTAATCAAGACCCGATTTGGAACCGTGGAGCGAACATTTCAAAAATTTGCATCAGTCTTGTGGCCAGTAAACCGGTAAATGCAAAATTAATCCGGAAAAAACAAGGAATTCGATGGGAGAACCGGGGAAAATCATTGAATCTTATCATATGGTCGTCGGTTCCTTAAAATATAGCTTGTATTTTTTTATGGTTGCACAAGTTTTTTTTACTATGCATTCTTTCAACACAAACTTATTTTAAAGTTTACGAAGTTAAACTTAAGAATTTGTCATGATTTCTGAGCAATTCAGATTCCAATGTTATAAAGTTGTGTTCCTTTTCCAATTAGTTAATTATTATAGTAACCAATTTGAAATAAAACAGCAAAAAAAGGGTTATCTTCCATTTAATTCCACTTAAATAATTTTGGTATCCATGATAGATACGTATTTCGACTACAATGTGCAGTCTTCATCTGTGTCATTCCCACTAAAGTCTTATCAAAAACCTAACCCCTTAAGAACTCATCCCATAGGTAAAAATGTCAAGATCACAGGTATAAAAATAAAACTGCAATGTGTAGAATCGGAACCTACCTAACTAATAATAATCAAAGGTCTTAGTAAAGTAAAGGAGAAAAATCTATTCAAATCTCTAATAAGGAAAAATCCATTTCAAATACAAAATTGTCCTCAGAAATCCTGAAATTTTTTTCTGAATTTTCCTGAATCGTTCCTAAGTTTTTAATTTCAGTTGCGCTCTTTTTTTTTCTTCAGAATATAATTCTTCTGATATTTTTTTTCAGAATTTCCTTAAAGTTCTTTCCTGAATATTCTTCAGCATTCCTTTGAAATTATCCTCAGAACACCCTTTCACTTCTGTTTATCAATCTCATTGAATTCTTCTTGAGATTTATCTGAACACTTTGATTTTTGCCAAGATGGGCACCACCAAGCAGCTCGGCATTTTATTTTGTTGAATCTCATTGAAAAAATTGCCAAGATTCAGCAAAAATTATGTTCTTTAGCTGAGATCTCGGCAAAATTGACGTTTGTTAGTTTTTCACTGAGATCCAGCAAAATAAAATGCCAAACTGCTCGGTGTTGCCTATCTCGGCAGGTATCCTCCTCACGATATACAATTCTCTTCAGAATAACCTAGGAAGTCAATTCTGAACATCCTTTCCTCCTTGGAATTTATCTCCAAACTTCTTCGTACTATATCTCAAAAATATCTTCGAATTTAGCCCAGGTTTTTTTTTAAATTCTCAACAGGTTTCCTTGAAATTAACACTTTACGTCCTTTTAAATTTACCCTACGTTTCCATAGACATTCCCGCCAGAATTTTAAAGAAAATCATTGTTAGATCCCTGAAAGTTCTTTCAAGTCTTTTTTTTTAGGAGGGATATTGATTTTTTTCAAGATCCTACATTTTAACTATTTTCTCCCAGATTGATTTTTTCTAAAATATTTTAAAACTCTGAACGTGTGTGTAAACGAATCTTGCAAATTTTATTAAATCCCAAATCTACTGAACAATGTCGTTTCTGTATGTATGTATGGTATGTAAGGTAGCCACCATCCCTTCAAAGATCTTGTCTTGTATGCAGCTCCACTTAATAGCAAGATCAATTTGAGCTACCGATCTGAATTCACAATATCGCTGTATGAAGGGCCAAAAACGAAGGTGCGGACCCGTAAGCAGAGACACTTACACGAAATCCACGGGAATTTAGCAAAATTCGCAATACTTATTAAGCTTCCTACAGGATTAGTTGTAAAGAAGGGCGCGTCAATCTCACTGAAACTGTTGAAGTAGAATTCGGTAGGATAAAGAAAATGATAGTGTTTATTCCAACAATATCGTTTCTTGTTGAATATGAACAACCGGAAGTTTTCAAGGTATGCACCGAGAAAACTCGAAAAAAATCGGGAATTTTATAATGAAAATTCACTGACCACCATGAGCATGATGTGAACAAACCGTAATAGTCAAGATGTAAATTGTTATACTGACATGCAGGTTTAAAAAAAAAACCTGTTTAAAATACTGAATTGCCAAAGCAGGAATAATGTAAAAACACTTAGAAATATATCATAACAATTAAGGCTGGTAAGTTACTATAGTAACTGGAGAACCTAGGTTAAAATGGAATATAATTTATTTTGAACTTACAACAAATCAAGAGTTAAAAAATAAGACCGTAATAGTCAATTTACGATGTAAAATTTCATTCATATCAAGAACATGGGCAAAAATGGCAAAAGCAATATATTGATGGTTTGAATTTAAAAGTCCCACTACTTGATTTATGCAGAAGCGAGTATAATTCAATTGCACTGTTTTACCTGTTCTACTATTTTTACAAAGAAAAGTACACGGAGAAAAAATACTACCCAAAATTGGAGTTCTTTTTACTTAATATTGAGTTAAGCCTCTCACTTGCACTCTTTATTGTTGTCAAAAAAGAAACGAGAGATTCGACCCAACGATATAGTTCAGCCCAATAAGTTACTTTTGAGTAAATTGCAGATTCTCAAATTTACGTGAATTAAACTTAATTTTGGGTAGAATATACTTAAGAGTAGGTATTTTTTCTGGCGTTAAATGGAAACTACTATATGCGATTTACTAAAATTTCGGTTATTGGGCTGGACCCCGGAATTGAGGGAAAGTACTTAATAGTGGTGTTCGTATTTCATTGCAATGTTTATCTTTTTACACGAAACAGCTGTTGGCAATGACGTAAATCTCACTATTCGCAGTATGGAATGTTATGGTAGAGTGACGTCGTCCTTTGAGTGCTCAGCAATGTTTACTTCTAACACCAGCTGCCTGTTGGCCCTGACCTTATATAAATGTCATTGTACATATACCGCTTGGAAAACCTACTTTCAATCTTAGGTCTTTAGCAATGACATTTATACAAGGTCTGGGAAAACAGGCAGCTTTCTGGTGTTAGAAGCAAAAATATTGTAAACATTGCTTTTAAGGCTGGTAAGTTACTGTAGTAGCTGGAGCACCTAGGTTAAAATGAAATGTAATTTATTTTTAATTTGGAACAAATCAAGAGTTAAAAAAATGTTAAACATTGCTGAACATACTGCTAACAGATAGAAATACGTCACTGCCAACAGCTCTTTTGTGTAAAAAAGATAAACATTGCAATGAATTACGAACACCACTAAAAATTTGCTCATTTCATTAACACCAAAAGCCCTTTGGCCCAGCCCTCTTATCAACGTCACTGGGTCTTTCGGCTCGAGAGTCATATATCAGCCAACTCAGATTGACGAAATCGTAAAATGTCTGTATGTGTGAGTGTGTGTGTGTGTGTGTGTGTGTGTGTGGGTGTGTTTCAACAAATTTGTAAGTTGTGTTTCTCGGCAAACACTGAAACGAATTCGATGTAACAACCCAGGTTTTATGGTCTCACAGAACTCTATTGAATATTTTTGGAATCGGTCAACTGGTTGAAGAAATATTGCCGGAACATGTTCCAGTGAGTAAAGGTCATAAGACTAGAACTGACCTAAAACTTTCCAACCCCATCATGCTACACCTCAAATCACATGAGAATTGAAAAACAAGTTGATTGGGGGTCAAAGTGAGTGCCCAGCCCACATTGGTCATATCCGGACATGTTGCGGGTACCCCCAGGGGAGTGACCTTATTATTTAAATAAGTTCAAAAATGAGGCAATCATCGACATAAATGAGTAAACTAACCTATATTTGATTTTTTTTTTTTTTAATCACTTATATAGGTACATCCCGTTCTTCACGTGGACGTTCATATAGACTTCGCTCGCATACAAATCGTAAATTAGCGTAACTAGAGCGTAAAGGGAATAAGTGCTCACTACCTATCAATACCTACTATGAGATCATATGGCACAGTGAACTTGACACTCATTCACTATCGTCGGGAGAATGTCGTTCCGCAATCAATTTGTTCATTATCATCTTGTTTGACTGGCCGCTAGCGCTCGTGTCGATTGCATTTTAGTACCAATTTGCGGTGTGAACTTCCGTCCGCGCTTTGTAACTTGTTGCCGTCTACTCGCTTAGCACTTGCTGGTACGGTTTGGTCGAAGGGACTACGGCGCTGTGACTTCATCTATTTATTGTTTATTATTTACATGGAAGTACATATGACCTATAGCCGTAGAGCTGCTACGCGGGATAGTTTCACAGAAGCGTAGAACGATGTAATCCAAAAAAAATCGCTCTTCGACATTCAGAACTAATGTAAACAAATCTAAATGTTATCAGTGATTGCATTTGGGAAGAATGTGTAAATTACAAGTGAAACAGTTTATTAATATTTGTTTTTATTTTATTTTCAGAAACCCTCCCCCGGCACCGCTGACAGTATATTATGTCCAACTCGTATACGACGACCGGCGCCAGACCGACTGCACGATGGAAGCGCTTTGTCAAGTCAAACTTACTCACCTTCCTCACGGTGGTAGGTGTGTTCGGCGGCACCACGCTAGGCTTAATGCTCAAAAACTCCACCACGCCATGGACGCAGCGTGAAGTGATGTACATTCAGTATCCAGGAGATCTGTTCTTACGGTAGGCTCAAAGTAACAACACGCCAGATTCGACTGATCCGTGCAGGGTTGCTCCTAACCCGGTATCCATTGTCATTTTTCAGGATGCTGAAGTGTTTGATCGTGCCCCTGTTGGTATCATCCATCACCAGTGCAATCGGCTCGCTGGATCTCAGCATGTCGAAAAAGATTGCATTTAGAGCGATAGTGTACTACTTCACAACGACGGTCTGTGCTGTGGTGCTGGGCATCATTCTCGTCAGCACGATAAGGCCCGGTGCCGGGCATAATGTTGGCAGTATGAAGGGTAAAGCTACCACTCGGCAAGTCCTTACTGTCGACACGCTTCTAGATTTAATCCGGTAAAAACCCCATTCCCTTCTTTATTATTTCAACAATCAGTAGTCTCAACTTTCCCCCTACTTTTCAGAAATTTATTCCCGCCAAACATTATCCAGGCCACAATGTTCCAGGTAGGCCCCTTTCCAGCCATCAACAACAACAATTTTACGGTTCATTAAACGTGGTACTATTTGTCTCTTGTCTTTAATTTCAGTTCCGTACCATTCTAGTACCACCAGAAAATTCTACTGATGGTAAATATATCCTGGTGCCTTTTATTCTCAATTCCATTCATATTGACACAGATAGGGTTAGGGGGTTACAAACGGTTTAGGCCCCCCGAATCCCTATTCCAATTTAGATTCCAAGCCTCACGGTTTTTTTTTCTCAAGAAAATTAATCGACTACCTATCCAAAAGATGCTACTCTCTGATGAGACAAACGAAATCTCATTCCCATGCTCCTTCCCTGATATTTTCCTAAAAAAAGTTAACCCTCGAGTAAACTGCGAGTAATCGGTCCCATCCATTGATCCGATTTCCGTCCTACCAAACAAAACTCGCGTTTTGCCTCTTCTTTCTTTCTTGGTTCTAAATTCGTCATACGGGTTTCAATTCCATCCACACGCATTGAAACACCATTGGATTTTCTTCGTCGTTCGGATGAAGCTAGGAAAATTAATTCTTTTGAAGCGCTTCTTTTGCTTTCGAGAACAATGGTTGTAAATATTAATATTTTGAGCTTTTATAGACCACCCACCGCGTTCTTCCGCGCTATCGTTATTGAGCCTTTAAAATAAACAAACTATAGATAAAACAAATTCAAAAGATGCCCTAAAATGCGATGTTACATATCATGCTGCAAAACATGACCATTGTGTTTACCATGCTTGGAGTAGTGGGGGGTAGGTCTGGCTTAATCCGTTCGACACCCCAACCAACGTGCAACAGGGTTTCTTCCACTCACTTCGCTATACAACATGTTTTTCCGAATTATGAAATCATTACATGTAATAATGGTATACTTATAAGTTACAAGAAAAAGGTTGTGAAGTAGGGGAAATGGATGTAATGTCGACCTAAATGCCCTTTATTTGGGCCCATACATAAACTCAGCAATCGACTAAATTTTCAATGGCAACCAAAAATATCCATTGTTGCCGTTCCAATGACGCGTTCATCTAGATAAAATTGATAAACAGCAGATTTTTAGCGATGGGCCCAATCTTAGATCCATAGGCCAACATTAGAGCCATTTCCCCTATGTGTTCGACACATAACATATACTGATGAATGTGAGCGTTTATAGTGGAATACCTGTAGAAGAAAGAGAGAAGGATTCGTAATTTTCATCTTATTCCACTACCTATATTGCTTATCCTTGATAGATACGCATATTTCGTCTACAATGTACAGACTTCTTCAGTGCTATTAAGTGGAGCTGCATTCAAGACAAGATCTTCGAAGGGATGGTGGCTACCTTACATACATACCGTAAAACGGGGTAACATTGATAGTTTTTTAAAGTATATTCTAAATATTTTTTACAACAATGACTGTTTTTCAAATTTCATATTTTTAAAACAAGTACTGAGGATCCAAGAGTCAATTTGTTAGTAATATGTTTAACAAAAATTAAAGCGTTTGCACTATTTTTTTTAGTTTTGTGACCGAACTTCAGTATTTTGATTTGGGGTTACTTTGATAATGCTCGATGAATGTAGAAAAAAAATGAATGAAACTCAAACAATTTAGTTCTTTAAATATGAAACTTTGAATGAGTATTTAATCAGAAAACTTCATAAGCAATAAGAATACAACATTGAATTTGTGATGGCTGTATTGGAAATACATTTCATAAGTGATGGTTTGAGTGCTTTTACTAAAAGGCGAAAAACACGAAATTGATTTTTTAATATTTTTGTAAAATATGTGACACATACTATTCAAAAACTATATGCCATATCAACGGAAATACCATAAGCTACAATATGGAACCAATGTTTTTTATTTGGAGAAAGCACAGCGAGTAAATTTATTCTTTATATTATACTATCAAAGTTACCCGCATTATCAAAGATACCCCGTTTTACGGTACATACAATGTACAGATTTCTTTAGTGTCTTGTACTAATACTCGACTACCATTAGTACGACGAGTATTAGTATAAGACACTGAAGAAGTCTGCACTTTGTAGACGAAATACGCGTATCTGTCAAGGATAAGCAATAAAGGAAGTGGAATTAAATGTAAGTTACTAATACTTCTTTCTTTATACATACAACCTGCCAGTTTCACTCTCAGAGAGTTACAATAATCGATTTTACGATTTGTGAGTGTTCACTGAGAGTGAGCGCTCACGAATAATAAAATTGATAATTGTGACTCTCCGGAAGCGAAATTGAAAAGTTTTATCATAGACAACCAGACTTAACTCTTTGAATAAGCTTTTCTTGAAATCATTGTACCTAAAAAAATGGACGTCAGTAACGACATCTCTCGAGCTTTTCGCGGTAAACAATTTTGCTCGCTAAGTCACAAAAATTGTTGCAGACAAGTTAAACAGAATGCATACATAGAAACAGGCTTGAAATTGTTCATTACAGCTAAAATGCTATTTTTCGGTATTATGAAACAATAGGATACTATAATGATAATTTTTATTTGTAAGATGCAAGAAGAGGTGGTAAAATTTGTATATGACATATAAAATTTATCAATTTTGCTTTCAGAAGGTCACAACTAGCGATTTTATGATCGCTGATTGCTCGCTCATCGCGTTGCTCATCGTTACAGCTAATCGCTATTGTGTCCCTCTGAAAGCTAAATTGACATGTTTTATGTGGCATACACACACTTTACTTTCTGTTCTTGCATCTTGTAAATAAGAATTATCATTAAAATATCTCATAGCTTCATAAATCCGAAAAATTGCATTTTAGCTGTAATGAGCATTTTCAAGCTTGCATAGAAACGTCAATATGATCCGATGCCACCTGCCGTCAATAGTTCGCGGAAATGACAATATTCAAATCAATCGTTAAATGCGTGCAAGCTTGCATAGAAACGTCAATATGATCCGATGCCACCTGCCGTCAATAGTTCGCGGAAATGACAATATTCAAATCAATCGTTAAATGCGGAACGGAGAAGAGTTACTTCTGTTTGTCTGTGGTTTTATATACTTCGCAATCTCTTCTTCAATCTTACAATAAGTACACAATATTATTATTTCATCTAATGACTTCATAATTCCGAAAAACATTTATTATAGCGAAGTGAGTAGATGCAGCTCTGTGTACAAATCACGTACATACAACTGTTAGGCACAATCTGCTCATTCTCAAGTACCCCTTCATGCCATTGAGGTGCAATTAAATAGCGATTTTATGTCCATTTGTCGCAAAGTGACATACACATAGAATCTGCGTCGAGATGCACATTGCTAAAAGAAAAATGATGCCACTGGATAGAATCATACATCATTGCCCCGTTTACGCTTTCCATTCGTAGGTGATTTGTTCAAGCAGAATCGTATAAGCTTGCATCGTGAATATCAATCGTTGTTGACGGTTAATTTATGCAGTTTTTTGTTATGATTTGTATTAGTAAATGCGAGCTGGAATTGCTTTACAGCTCAAATTACGCGTTGTGTAGGAGCAATTCTAATAACGAGTTGTTCCGGTAGAGTTTTAGCAAGGTATGCATTCAAAAGCTCAAAGTTATTTACCTGCTGTCGCAATATCGTGAGAAATATTGAGCTTGTTTTTTGTAAATAAATTATTTCGTCATCATTCAACAGGAAAATGTACTTGCAAGTAAAGAAAAACATTACTCATAACTGAAACGTTCTCACTAACCCAAATCCAATTTCGCTAAATTACTAAACTGAACCATCCAATTTCACCACCAGTTCCACTACATACATACAAAATCACCTCCGAATTCACCGAGGGCACCAATGTGCTCGGTTTGGTCATGTTCAGCGTGGTGCTCGGTGCTTGCATCGGCAAGATGCGGGAAGCTGGTAAACCCCTGCAGGCCCTGTTCGAAACGCTCAGCGAAGCCATGATGATCATTACCTCGTGGGTGATTTGGATCTCGCCGGTCGGTGTGTTCTTCCTGGTCGCTGCCAAACTGCTCGAGATGGCATCCTTCATGGAAGTGCTCGGTCAGCTCGGTTGGTACTTTATGACTGTGATGCTGGGATTGTTTCTGCATGGATTCGGTAAGGAATTCCTCATCAATCATAATTGTGTACCGCATGTAACTGTTTACGTTATCATCTGAAAAGGCACTATTTCGGTAATCTTCTTCATGACAACGCGGAAGCTATCGTTCCCTTATATCGCTCAAATGAGCCAAGTGCTTGCCACAGCTTTTGGTACTGGATCCAGCTCAGCCACGATGCCGATTACGATTCGATGCTTGGACAACATGGGCATTGATCCACGTGTGACCCGGTTTGTGATTCCGGTCGGTGCTACGATCAACATGGACGGAACTGCCCTGTACGAAGCCGTCGCTGCATTGTTCATTGCCCAGCTGAGGCACATCCCATTATCGTTTGGTCATATTGTTGCCGTGAGGTAATTGGTGCAATTTTTTTATCGCTATTTCTGAATGTTTGTCTTGAAACATTAACTGCGATTTACTTTCAGTGTAACGGCTACAGCTGCTTCGATCGGTGCCGCCGGTATTCCACAAGCCGGTTTGATTACTATGGTCATGGTATTGGACACTGTGGGACTGCCTGCCGAGGATGTGACTATCATTATTGCCGTCGATTGGCTACTGTAAGTTTGTCCGGCTGATGGAAATGTAACAAGAATTATTAAATAAACGTGACATTTTCAGTGACCGATTCCGCACAACCATCAACGTAATGTGTGACGCCCTAGGAACGATTCTAGTGAATTCCCTTTCAAAGAATGACTTAGCCGGTGTACCGAATGAAATTGTAAGTATTGTTCAAACCTTAGTTCAAACTGTAAATATCGGTTATGGAAGCAGGATGTGGTGCCTAAATCATACGACTTATCGCTTTTTGAGCTCTATTGGAATACAATGACGTTTTCTCAAAATTTATTGCAGCGTACAGTCCAATAGAAGGGAAAAAATGAATGTTGTACTAGTTTATAGAGATTAGGTAACTATTAGATCAGTGTGCTTTATGAGGTATTGCAAGCTAACACGTTTTATACTAACTTCCCAATGAGTGCTTTTATTTGGCGAAATAAGTACACATCTCGGTTTTGCTGTTCTTCAAAATCATAAACATTTGTGAATCAGATTTTTCATGAAGGATAAAACTTGGCACCAGCTATATTTTTTTTCATAAGGTGGTTGAGTTTACTACGTGACTGCTTTCTAATACCAGTGTGTCTAGGTTCAATCCCCAGCCGACGTTATTGGGATTTTTGTGAGGCGAAAAAATGTGTTGATGGGTTGGATAGGTTCCAGATTTGGAAGTCTTATAATATGGCAAGGTTATGTGAACCAATAGAAAGTAGACATGATTTACTTTGGTTACCAATCAATGATGAGAGCGTGTTTCTCCTCAAGGATGCCAACAAACCCCTCCAGTGTAAAGGGTCCAAAGCACTGGATTCGAAGGGTGGGATTCCACTGCATATTTACTGGTCACTGGAACATATAAGGAGCAGTGACCGCAGTATATCAACAGCTGTTCATCTCTTCAACGAGTTAGTAGCAAACAAATTTAGCGATCAACAACTCATTTTTACAGACGGATCCAAAGCTGGAGGTAAAGTAGGTTTCAAAGTATCGGGACCCCAGTTGAGCATCCATCAAAGATTACCGAACGTTGCGTCTATCTTTTCGGCCGCAGCAATTCTTTCGGCAGTTACGGAATCCGGCCCACTTGGAAAATCATTATCTCTGACTCAGCCAGTGTGTTGAGAGAATCCAAAATCCGTCACCCATGTGCACAAGCAATTAGGACAGTAGTCGACCGAAACACAACCTTCGTGGGGGTTCCTAGTCACTGTGAAATCGAGCAAGCGGACAGACTGGCAGCTTTAGGCAGAGAGTCTGCCCTCACAACAAGAGAAATCCCTGCAGCTGATATCATGACATGGGTCAGAGGTGTAGATTGGAGTGCATATGGGGCTAAATGGCACAATGATAGGAGCTCCTTACTGCTTAAAAAATAAAGGAGAAACTGGTGAAAGGGTGGATGTGGAGAGCTAAAAGACCAGCGGGTCCTCTTCAGATTGCGTACCGGTTACATCAAGCTATCCCACAACATGGCAGGTGGACAAACTTATTATGTTAATTTGTTACAATGTTATAATCAACACTAGGGGGCACTCATTTGAAGCCCTCTCCTATTTTAAATAGGTGAACCAGCCTCTGGCTGAAAGCCTCTATGATAGAGGAAAAAAGGTTATGAATATCTCGGAATATATAGCCACTAATAGATGCCACTAGAGGTAAAATACTGACGTGACGTGACAACGTGACCAAAAACTAGCATTTTTTCGACTTCGACTTTGTTGTAATATAAATTTCCGCTAAACAAAAATGTTTTGATGTTACTCAGATAATTTCAAACATGTTTGCAAGCTTTGGCTAAAGTAAGGCTCAATTTAAAGTAATAGAAACATTTAAAATAATAAATGTTGTTGAACAGTCGTGGTGAAGAACTGCATGGAATTGGTTTGATTACCAATTGGCAATCGACACTAGTCGGAAATTGGCCCTCGATTGCAGAACAGTTACTGACTAAGGAAAAAAACACCAATTTCCCCGATAATCCAGTTCTTGTTAATCCGATGACTCGATAATCCGACATCACGGTCTCTAATGGTGCTTTTTGGCATTGTTAGGTTGGTAACATTGATTTTTATGATTTGACAGTCGGATTATCGGATCAACCCGGCTAATCCGGCCACACATTTTTTTTTCGAATTAGCGGGGGTATGTAGTTTGTAGTTTGTCTCACACTAAACATATGCTTACAATCGGTTTATCATTTTTTATTGTAATTTCATCTTAATACAAATACATAGTTTAACAAAAAACAAGAGTGTATAAAAGGTAAGGTCTGTTCCCGTACTTGCTTTTCTGTTAGATTCTGTACAGCAATATCATATTATTTTCTTACAGCAACTAACAGAAAGCTGCAGCAACTTACATCAAAAGCAAAAAAAAGCAAGTACAGGAACAGACCTATTGTTTGAGTAAAACTAATTTAGTCTTGTTCCTTTTTCTTTTTAACAAATTGAGCCTAATTCGCAACTGAACTAAAAGCAATCTAATCCTATTTTCTCCATTTTCAGCACGACGCCGAACCCCATGAACTAGTCGAGCTACGGCAAGATTGCAATGAAAAAGAATAAAATCGTTCATCCATCGAGCTTTACCGTGTTTTCCGAACTGCAGAACCCCTTCTATCCAGATCATATTCATTCTCCCTGCGTGTAACTTATAGGTGTTATAGTCAATCTGCAAACCGAAATGAAGTTTCGGATAAGATATTCTCAAAAAAAAGAAACCATCCCATGGTGTGGAGATAAACGTTCGAAAAAAAAAATCAGGTACTCACGATCCACCGACAACTATTTAGATAAGTATAGAGAGCGAACACATCATACCGACGCCACTTCGGCCACGTGCTGCCAGAATCGCCGCCAAACATACGGAAGGCCATTTTCCCCCAAGGGGATTGTAGAGAACAAGACGAATATATGAAATTTACGAAATTACACCACCAACAATGTCACCATCACCACCACCATCATGTTCGTTATACATACCTAGATGTAGTCAATAGTGAAATAATGAACAACCATCGGAAACTAATCGGCCAAAATCATTGACAGCTCCCGTTTACCAGAGTGTTTCTAGTGTGGTTTTTCATCCCGCAGCTTATTAGGATTAAAGCCATCAAAGCAGAAGACTTCGGATAGAGGTTGCATTATTGTGTGCCAAACTCGACGAAGGCTTCCGAGTGAAAAAAAATAGAAAAGAACCAACTGTTACGTATTGACAGCTGAATTTTGTCGTACTCTGGAAATAAACAAAAGTAGATTGTACGAGCTTAAGTCTAACACATTGTTAATGTTAATTGTATATTTAAAAATACTTACAAATATATTTTAATAATTAGCTTTTTGTACATTTTTTCTGCTTGTTTTTTTTTTTAATTTTCACTTAATCACTGAGAAGAGTTTCGGTTCACCCTTTTATTTATTTATTTATTTTTATAGACCAAATGCCCATTCAAAACTTTCTTATCATTGAATTGGTTTAAAAAACGAGTTATTTTTATTTTTTTCAGTTGGAGAAATGTTTACTAAATTTATTACTTTAACTTCAACAACATTACCAACATAAATATGAAACACATTCTTTAAATGAAGGTAAATTATGCCTGCTGCGCATTTTTTATTTATTTTCTTCTGAAGGTATGGTTAACCAATGGTAGTGTAATTTCTATGGAAATCGATGGGATCATATGATGTTATCATGAATGTTATCAAAGATGTAAACGAAAGAAAGAAACTCCCATTTGGCCGCAGGAATGAAAGAAACAAAAATACGAAAATAAAAATGTTACATGTTGGAGAAATCTCTCTGTTTGAATTTCCATTGGTATAGAGAAAAAACCCACATCAAAGACTCTAATACGCTAATACCATAGGGGTAACTCTAAAACCAGAAGGTCCCGAAGAAACGTGCTCAACTTTTTGACTCAGTTCTGGTACTCTCTTCGGTCCCATGCAAATCGAATCACCCCTCGAAACATAGGAAAATCCACGAACCCCTCATTTTATCTGTCAAACTTTCATAGCGAATCAAAACATACATAGTGTTGTACAAGAATTTCAACTAGAATGGGGTACGTTAATCGATTTGCTTGGGACCAATAGGCTAGTCAAGTAGTGAGCCAATTTTTTAATCGTTAGCTTCCAACCGGTGCTAATACTACGTTTATAGGCGTCTTTCAATGAGCACTCATACTTCAAGTTTTCAATACATAATATACATAATCACCCATATTCTTGCTTATGTTCGAACCGTATTTTTCATATATTTTTGTGTACGGAAAAACGGTTCCTACAAGCATATGGGTGAATAATAGACTGATGCAAAATTTGAAATGTTCGTTCCACAGTGCTCAAACGGTTCCAAATAGGGTCCTGATTAGCCTCCCGAAATTTAAACTCATTTGGTAAGAAACTGACTTGGCACAAACCATTTGAAATTTATATGGAAACTAGCTGAGTGTGCCCGGTCTTGCTCGGGATTCAATATTAGCTTGAGTTTATGCGCCGATTTAAAAAAAAGCATGCTATATTGTACGTAGCCCCCCACCCCTATTATCTAAGGGGCTACCCCCTATGATTATCTCCTTATACCCCCACATGCCTAATTTGGTTCCATTTGCTTGATTAGTTCTCGAGTTATGCAGAAATTTCTGTTTCATTTGTATGGGAGCCCCCCCTTACATAAGGGGGAGGGGTCTCGAACCATCATAAGAACCTTCCACGGCCCCAAAAACCCCTGTATACAAATTTTCACGCCAATCGGTTCAGTAGTTTCCGAGTCTATAAGGGTCAGACAGACAAACTGACAGAAACTTTTTGTTCACTGTCTTCTAGCCTTTTTCCATATTGCACTGTTAACAAGTTCTATCGCTATTATTATAGGAAATCTTCTCAGCTACAACTTTGCACAAAATCGTTTTTCAGCCCAGCGTCAAACTAAATATTTATGAATTGATTAACAGATCGATAATCTTATGGCATGATTAAGCAGCTGTATTGTGGGCAATACTGTATTCTGCAGAGTGAAATAGTAACCAGGCTTTCTTACACTCACTTGCTATAAAAAATGAATTTCTGAAATTTGAAATCATTAGACGTTATAATGATATTTTGTACTTGCTAGATACAAGAAGAGGTTAAAAGGCAAGTGTTTGACACATAAAGCCTGTCAAATTCGCTTTCAGATAGTCACAATCAGCGATTATACTACTCGCGAGCGCTCACTCTGAGTGAACGTTCACGAATCATAAAATCGCTGATTGTAACACTAAGGAAGTGAAACTGACAGGTTTTATGTGTCAGATACTTACCTTTCAACATCTTCTTGTATCTAACCAGTACAAAATATCATTAAAACGTCTAATGATTTCAAAATTCAGAAAAGTGAGTGGAAGCAACCCTGCCAGGAGGCAACATACAACAGACAAACAGATGTAACTCTTTCAATAAGTGTTTCTTGTAAACATTGTACCTCTAAAAACAGGACCTCACCCAAGTAATCATAGGCACGCCTTTTTGGCTCTATTTTGTGTTTGCAAGTTTTTATGAGGCCCGTATATAGCCAAAAAGGCGAAATAACGTGCCTATAGTTACTTGGGCAGTAACGAGCTTCTCGCGAAAATCAGAAAATATTGTAATTCGATGCCAGCGCTGCGGTGAGAAGTTCCCGGAAATGATAATATTCCAATCAGTCATTTAATGCGTGAGTGAAGATCGAGAAAGAAGAGTAACGTCTGTTTGTCTGTGAATATATCATCAGTGTACCAATTACCGCTCATATTTCAATTATCCAAACGTGACCAAACCATAGATGCCGTGTCGATGCTCATGTTCACCGGATGCCAGGGTTGTTCAAACCGTAGTCCGTGATCTCGAAGCGACTATACCCAAGGCAAAGATGAATACAGTTCCTCTTTTTTAATATTTCTAGAAGACTTCCTTTACATAATGTTGGTTTGTGTGGGCGTGCCTTGAATTCCTAGTAATCATCGAGATAAGTCATTGTTTACAAAAGCTGTTACGCACTTCTTCTTCTTCTTCTTTTATTTATTTAATGTCGGTCTTTGTTCCATCGATTGCTATCCATTGCCGGTAATCGAATATGCAGAAAGGCAGCTTCCACACCTGCGTAGTATATCGCACCCATTCAACACACATGGGCCGACGCACTACTTCCAGCTCTATCTATAGATTTGTTTAGAACAAAGATTTTCGAGCTCTACCAACAACATCGAAGGGCGGACCAAACAAATTGTAATGCCCTTATCTTGCATACCGAAGCTCACGTAACCAATCGAACACCACTATCGAATAGCAGAGAATTTTCCCTGCCTGATGGGATTGCTTATTGGCAAGGCAAGCTTCGGTTCACAAGAAATAAGGAAGAAAAATTTAATTACGAAATCGTCATCGCAGAGTTGATCGGGAACACAAAAAAGGAAACAGGTAGCAAAATTAATCTGATGTACATTAAATGGGCAGCTACTCACCGTCTTGCAACAGTTCTTTTTTTATGGAAAAACGGTTTGACCGAAAACGAGAATAGCTACTCGAATGAACTGATCAGTTATAAATAAAACTGTACAGCAGTCTTGTTACTGATCAATAAAATTCAAGCCGTAGATATCTAATACTAATTATCCAAAACTTTATTATCCGAGAAAATATGCTCTATTGTAATAATGGATTACAGGTCTTTTGTGGTTGTCCGAAATTTTTATTTTTCTGCTGTAAAGTTACTCTATGGCCTTGCATTACTTCGTACAAGCTTCTTACGATTATATCCATCAATACAGTTCAAGCCAATCAATTACAAAATCAGTAAATAAAAGCCTTATTTATCTTGGACATACATAGTTCCGGGTCGTAATAATTATTTGTTGACATACTTAAAACGAAAATCCTAAGCTTACATCCATCAAGGAAAACGTTCAGCCCCATTCGATTTGTAACGGAGAAAAAAAAAAAGTAGGGAAATTGAACTCGTGCGAGTTACTCCGCCGAATCGGATGATTGCCAGATCAGACGCTCCTCGTAAAAGTCTATGACAAGCTGGGGACAGTGCTTGCGCGCTTCCTTGGACGACACAAGCTGGGCCTTGTCCTTGTCCTTCCATTGGATCAGGAATAAAAGCTCATTGTTTGCTTCGGTGGCTCCGAGAATCTTCTCCGGGGCGTAACCTTTTTCGAATCCATTCATTCCATCATCGCTGGCAGCAGCATCATTATCGACTGCAGCAGTCTTCGACTTGCTTGACTTGGTCGACGCAGAGCCATCCTTATCATCGTCTGATCCATCATTCTCGGCATCCGAATCGGCCTTTCTTTTCGAGCTACTCGTGGAGGACGGTTTGGCAGGTTTCTTTTTCTCCTTTTCCTTCTCTTTCTCCTTGGGGGCGGCTTCTTTCTTTGCCGCAGTGCGAGTATCTTCAAATGCCTTGATCAACTCCGGGCACTCCAAATTCTCTCTCGGTTCCCAGGTGTTTGCTGACGAATCGTATCCCTTCCATTTCAGGAAATATTCGACCTTACCCTTTCGTTCTCGTCGATCGACGATCTTCTCTACGACATACTCCTCCTCCTCGCTGGACTCGCTATCAGAATTCGGTTTATTTTCCTTAACCTTGCCCATTCTGTAACGTAGAATTTGATCTTTTTGAATTTGTATTCCGATAAAATAAATTTGTTTTCTCACCTCCAAAGCGTCAGTGGTGTTGTGGAAAATAAAATCGATGGTGGCGCTACTGGCACAGGCTGAACTGTCTGGAAAACGAAGGAAATAAAAAGCATGAACAAAAAAAAAAAAAAAAAGGAAGATGCCGTCCAGAACGCCGCTATATTTGCTTGTATTTGAACACTCACCGTTCAGTCACTTCCGGCTCAAAATACCAAATTCACAACTGGAAGACTTTCCAGCAACCGGGAAGCTACGTTTTGTGCGGAAAAAGAGTGCAATTATAGCAAAAATTTTCACTTTAACAAGCCAGTACGGCGGACCTCGTTCGGCAAACAAAAATGCGCGATGGCTTCCTCTTTCAGTTTGCGAGCCCGCGGAACGAAACTTCTGACAGCTTGCCCTATCGAAAGAACGGAAACTTATGGGAGCATAACAAATGTTTTAGACTAGTATACGTTTCTCGAGCTAATACAGTATGCCTCCGCTAATCCGACAAATTCACGGACAAAATTGTTTGCATTGAACCAGAAAAAAACTTTATTTGTATTTAAACAAACAAATCCGGTTGAAATTATATTGCATTTTATTGTTTCGATAATACTTGTACGAATAAATTCAAAATAAGATTATTTTTGTTTTAATAAGCCACTTTTCAACTGCAACTCTTGTAAAAATAACAATATTCTTTTATTAAGCCAATAGTACGTTCAGACTACAGAGTTATAACTTGTTATAGTGCTATCTTGATGGTGGTTTCTGTGTTGCAATTAGTTGACAACCGTTATAACATGTTATTACCACAAACCACCACTTCGTTTGTGGTTAAATTAAATGATTTTGTTTTCTGCAAAAATCTATTGGTGAGAGTATTTAATCGAAGACAACAAATCAAGAAGTTTGTGTATTTGCTCATTTTTCTATGCGTTGCTTCCACCTTCACTCAAGTGCAGCGCTACTGTATCTGTCGCTTGGATTCTAGCAAACTGGCCAGTCTTCTTGATTTGTTGTCTTCGATTTAATTCAAACCAGCAATATAGTATTTTTGCCAATGGATTTTGTTTCAATGTATGCTTATAATTGAGTAAAAATTTACTCAGTCTGATAATCCCCTGATCCTCATATCTAATATTAGTGAGTTTCAACCTGGGGGGGACGTACTGTCAAATCAGCCTACTGATCATACTTGTATGAAACTGGTTCCAAACGTAAACAAACGCTGTAGGTTTCTTATGGCTTGTTTACGGCCGTGAATTAAACTGGTCGAAAGTATGTTTCAACTAGGCACCACGTGTGGCGCTGAGGTCGTACGCAAACGACTGACATGAGCGCAACAGCGAGCTGTCAAAACGGAAAATAATCCTTTATTTTTATTCACGTTTGCAAAATATATTCCTGAGAAATTTTTCGATTGTAGTGTTTTCGCAGGACAAAATTCAACTGATCGGATCCAAAATTAACGAAACACTCTATTCTCCATGTAAAGATCATCGGAGCATCTCCGAACATTGGCCATGGCGAGCAGCAGCAGCAATAACGCAATATACTTGCGGCAGCAGTTTTCTGCTCTGCTGGGAAACACTTCGTCATCGATTAAGTTTATCTGCATTTCGACGCTGGTCGGTTACGCTTTGTCCTTCTCGGATCGAGCTGTGGACATCCTCAGCGTGACGCCAGGCTATCTTATGCCACCAACGTTCTGGATATGGACCATATTCACATTTTGCTTCATCGAGCTGCATTTCTGGGAAGTGCTAGTGGATCTGATTACGGTAGGACTGTGCGGGAAGCTCATCGAACCGTCCTGGGGTGGGATGGAGATGCTGCAGTATTTTGCCATTACCAACACGGGGGTGGCGATTTTGACCAGTTTTTATTACTTGTTCTACTCGATGATAACCAAAGACGCCGAGTTTTTGTTCGATGTTCACATCCATGGGTTGGCTGGAATGAATGCAGGTAATTTATAGATCAATTCTGTGACACATTTAGAAGTAAACTGAACTTTATTTTCCAGCTGTTAGCGTAGCTGTCACACAAATTATGCCGGATCATTTAATTGCCCGCACACCTTTGGGAAAATTCTCTAATAGGTAAGTAAAAGTGCCACATCTTTTGGAATGATAGAAATTCATGTTATATATTATTTCGTAGAAACGTCCCCCTCACAGTAGTGATCGTATCGATACTGATGTGGGCAATAGGGCTTTTGGACGGCACGTATCCGGCGATGTTTGCCTCGGGCTTGTACGTTTCGTGGGTGTACCTGCGCTTCTATCAACGACACTCCAACGGGACTCGCGGGGATAGCGCGGAAAATTTTCGCTTCGCCAGCTTCTTTCCGAATGTGCTGCAACCGTTTGTAGGCCTAATTGCAAACCCCGTTTACCAGGGCTGTCTGCGGATCGGGATGGTCAAGCGATTGACACCACAGCAAAGCAATTCATCGTCGCTACAATCAGTCAGCGTCCACTCGCTCGCGGGGGTCGATCCTCACGATATGGAACGAAGAAGGTATGTATTTAGCTAGAAGTGCCAAATTCTAGTTCGAATGGAAGTAATCAACTTGCATTCTTTGCAGACAAATCGCTTTGAAAGCTCTCAGCGAGCGGTTATCCAAAACCACAGATTCTAGTCGTCTGAACACGTTACCCAAGTCGTTCCCTCAGACGGGTGCTTCTGGAAAGCATCACCACCATCATCACGGGCACCATCACGGCCATGGTCATCACGGAGGTGGCGGCGGCGTGGGTCTCCTACCCTTCCCGATGACAATCGATCGACCAGCGATTCCATTGCCACCTCCTCCCAGCAAGTCTACTCAGAAATCCGAGTCGAGCAAACCCAGTAGCACAACCGCCGTTGATTTGATTAATTTGGACCAAACCGGAGCCAGTCAAGCAGGAGCATCGACGACGACTATTACTTAAATAGTAACCAAATCCTTCGAACTGGTCAGTATGAGAAGCAGGATTAAATTTGTTAATAGACGCACCGTCTGAATTAACAGTCGTATTCTGATGATCAAGAGGTGAAGCATAAGGACAAAATTGAGAGCTGTAAGGTGAAATGTAAAATTTTTGATAGTAACGGAAAAGATGCTTTAAATAACTACTAGGATACGCGCTCTCCCTGTTTCTGTTTATTTTTCTGTAGATTTTAATTGTGATGATTGATAAGCTATGATGATGCTGATGACGATGATACACTAAAATGGAATGTTTGGTTATGCATTGTTATAGGACAGCAGATTGCCTATAGGATGCATTATCGTGTTAGATATAATAAAAACGTACCTATGAAAATAAGCAGTGGTTTTTGTGCATCCATAAAAATTTATTATGATTATCTGACAAAGTCAAAACCTTCGGAAACAAACAGAACGTGAGGCGCGACAGGCTGATGTAACGTCCACGATGTTCAGTCATGTTTAAAATCGTATTATGGAACAAATCTGGAGTACAAATGTAAACAAATTGAGATTTACAAAACTACCAGACATCCGATTACTCTAGCTACAGGCAACATTTGGGCCTGCTGTTTAATTTTCTCATCAAAAAACTATTTGTCGTATGCTAGGGGATGGCACAACTGGTTTCGCTGGAAAAGCGGGCAGAACATATTAAAAACCGTGATCATTTTGAAGAACCTTATCTAAGCTGAAACTTTCCAAAACATCCGTTGCTAATCGTTCTAAAGTGTTCTAAAGATTCTGACCACTTCTAACAGATAAAAAGATAGAAAAGCTTATAGCATTCATGTCTAATACCCTGGACAGACTATGGCTTATATCATGTAATATAGACTGTCTTGCAATGAGCACTCATACATAGGATTTCCAGTGAAAACTAGATGTATGAGTGCTCATTGCAAGACAGCCTATATTACATGATATAAGCCATAGTCTGTCCAGGGTATAAGCTGTGAAAAAAAAAGATTAGCGAAACACGGAAAAACTTCGATAAGTAAATTGGCGTCTCTTCTAGCAAAGATTGACAGTTTCTTTTGGGAATTTTCAGTGGAGTGAAAGGATAGTACGAAGCCCGCCATGTTTCACGCATAGTCTGACGTTTGCTTATGGATTTTACCATTGGAGTAAAGAGCTACAGAGTTGCCGTCAACGCCAATTCAATACCTAAAAATTCTCGCCGCACGTTTTTAGCCTTTAGGAGGATAGCATCCCACTAGCTGGCCCCTTGACCCCAGCCCACAGACTTATAGTCGCTATATTCATAGCATCGACAAACCGACATGAATGACCACAGCAAAAACAATAAATTTGTTGACCAAAGCACACTACTGACATCTGGCTCCGTGTTTGCGGGAAATATTTAGCTAAGCCATGAACCCGCATGCAAAAGTTATGAATTGGTTAGTGTCTAATCTATTCTGGACAAACTATTTTTATCTAGATAAAAAATTTCTATGGTTTTGACAGTTCGGATCACTGCACAATTAAATCAGCCGTTTACGATTTTCGGGCATAAGGCAGAATTAAATGTCATGTCGGTTTGTCGGTGGTAATAATATGGCTTACATGTTCACGATATCCCTTTATTAATAGAAAGATTCGTGGTGAACTTGAATAAGTTTCATATTGATGGACTGTAACCTACTTGTTTTCGTTTCTTCATACCGGGAGGGAAAAAATTGTTGGTAATAAGTGTGTGCCCAATCGATGTTTTTCACGTTTGACAGCTTTGCTGACGCAGCCAACTACGATGCGTGCAGCGACCGACATCAGCCATTTTGTAGGCTGATGCAATTCATTCGTTACTGTACTACCGGAAGAGAAAGACGTTCAATAAAGTTTCTTTTAAGTTGTTCATTAAACCAGTTATTATCGAATCAATTCCTTTAATTTCCTCGTAAGTCAACAAAAATTGGTTCCATTTGACAGCAACATTGGTTTGATCAATTATTAATTAAGGTTGAATTTTTAAATAGACGTATCTGCTTTTGTAAACACAACAAGCAAAACAGCGGCTTAATAAGGAATGCTCTGTCCCGGAAGCTACATCTAAGATCACTTACTAACTCCGCATCTTATACATTGTTATAAAAACCAAAAGAGAATTGTCACGCTCCACCATGCTTTATCTGGTATTGGTATTGACTACGAAAAAGCTTTCGATCGACTCAATCACCACAATCTGAGGGGAACTCTGAGACGCAAAGGAGTCCCGGATAAGCTCATCGAAGCGCAGTGTATATTATCGACGAGATTATGGTAGGTTCAGTTGGCCGTGTTCCGAACCGTGGGGCAACCCTTCCAACTTTACGGTAGCGGGGCAAGCACTGGATAAAGTCGAAAGTTTCATATATTAGGAGTCAGATAGCGTTAGACGGAGGGACCAATAATGACATAGGTGCACGAATCAAGAAGGCTTGCGCTGATTTTATGAGTTTGCGAACTGTATGGAGATCCTAACCAGATAAGTCAACGCACCAAAATCCGAATTTTCAATTTAAATGTGGAATCAGTGTTGTTATACGCCATCGAGACGTGGTGTGTATCAGCGGATAACACTCAAAACTGTTTTCAACAATCGCTGCCTGCGTTATATAATTCATGCCAGGTGTCGCATGTATCATCTTATTTTCCATTGCCTTAGTATCGAATTGTTTTGCTCTTCTTAATTTGAACCCCACCAAGGTCAAGAACTACTCGAGCCGTCATGACTTTAATAAAGTTTGTTTACATTCTTGTATCGCGTGAGTAGTTTCATTAAAATTGGAAACCCAACTGAGTCATATCAAAACTGCGCTGATTTGTATTTTTTTTTTCTTCACTGAACCTATTGGTTTCTGCCGTTGAGCTTACATTAAGCTCGCTACCCCGAATGTCACTTCCCCGAATATGAATGAGATTCTGCCTTCTTTTGATTGCTGCTCGTTTTTATTCAGGCTAATGGGATTTAAGCAGATGGCGTTCGGGGAAGCGACAATCGGGTAGCACAATCTTTTTAACGAATGATAATATTCAATGTGTTGTGCCTTTTTCTGTGATTAAAGCCATTAATTGTATGGGTATGTATAAATTACTCACTTTTGAAACATATTTTCTAACGTCATGCAACGTGCCTGAAACACACATTGCGCGATTGCGAATGGTTGCACACTAATGTATTTTTCATTGTATGTATCTCGATTTTGATGAGATGCTTCCCATAAGTTTGTAATACTTGTATCCGCATGTTTGCAGTGGCAAATTTACGAAAATACTGATGAAAAAATGAGTGATTGTGCATAGTTAGGAACCGCGCAAAGGGTTGATGCATATATTATGTCACGCTCTAAGGGGGGAGGGTCTACGATTTTGTGACAAGCAATGCATTAGGTATAGGAAAAACGCCACGATAGGGGGGACGGGGTAATTTTTTGCTCGATTTAGCGTGACATAATTGATGCATGGGCCCAAGTATGGTTCCTGCACGGTAGCAAATTTACAGAAATTCACAATTTATAACAGATAACAGATTTTTTTAAAAGAGCAACTCTCAGCTTCCTTGAATTTGTCAAAATTCCTTTATGAGTTCGTTGACGTTTCAGGTGATTTTGTTCCAAAATTTCCAGAGGAATAATTTATTTCACATAGAATTCATTTACACACATAACAGTGCCATATTCTATGAACTTGTCAAAAAACGTGGGACTTTTACGCGTATGAAGTTTACGAGAAAGGAAAAAAAATCCAAACTTCTTGAATATGAGACCACTTAACAAGGATTTCGAAACATAAAGATTGCTACAAACGCCAAGGTTCACGCCACAATAGTACATCGTATATTACAACAACGATCAAACATAACTCATCATAGGATTTCAGCTGATATCACTGATCAATAAAACAATAGGATAAATTTATCGTAAATCGCGGCATTCCAAGGTGATGAAGATACTGCTTTGTTTAAATTATCTATTTATGCCATTATCTATACAAGCCAACCCCAGACTGCCTCCGTCCGTTTGGATGTATTGTGCAAATAGACTTTACCTTTGTATGCTGGAATGATCTCCTACTAAGTATCAATTCATTAATAGTGGAGTACTTTTTAAAAACAGTGCAGTTTTTACTGATCATTCGACTAGTTTGATTTACTTCGTATCACGTTTTTAATAATTTATCGGGATGTTGTCCCTTCAGCGCCAGTATTAGTGTCTATTGTTGTAGGTAACTTCAGAATGAGAAAAGTTGAATCATTATTTGTTTACAACATTATAACTACAAGATATAAAAAATTACATTAATTACAGTTCAACCAGCGATGAGTGACTGTTTTTTGGTTATATAACTTTGACCCTTTCCCATTGTGTTTGCCCTCTTGAAAGGTTTCTTCACAGCACACTTGCCCAAAATAGTTAATCGTTTCACTTGGCCTCTTTAGCTTATGTTGTTTTCGATAAATATTTATAAATATAACCATATCTACCGACCCGTGCAAGTTCACAGGAATATTTCCGACCCCACGTCTAGTGAGGTGTTGTACAGTGAGCTGTCATCCTGCTCCTGCAGTTGCTGTCGGAATCAGGATTTTGCCCTACTGGGACCACCAGCGGATGCCGTCGTGGCATTGCTCTGCTTCCCTCGGACAGCACTACCGCTGTCGACCAGGATGTTGGTCGACCGGTCGGATGCTGCAATGGAAACAGCATCCCCATCTTCGTCATCCTCCTCGTCCAGATCATCCGGCGATATTCGGATCGCTTGGTACCACTTATTCGTCAGATCAGCCATCTGGCTCTTGCAATCGTGAAGTTCCTACAAGAGAGATGAAGGACAATCGTGTCGTAATCTGAATATTATAGAATTGTCCACTTACCTGGTGTGTGAATCGTCGAGTGAAGAACGGTGTAAAATACTTCCTATCCAACCGAGCGAACCCAACCAACTTCGACTGCGTAAAGCTCACTTCCTCCTCTTCCGTCAGTTCCGATAAATGTTCCGAATCAATCGCTTGCCCCCATTCGCGCGTCTTACTCAGTGAAAGAACCTTCTCCTTCTTCTTCCTTCCCAACCGGCTACTGCGAACAGTTCTTCTGCTTTTCTTTCCACCGGCCAGATACTTCATCAGTGGCATGGTTGATCCACCGAAGAACAGTGTCGTAAAGAGTACGATAATAAGGGTGGTAGTGATCACGACATGTCTCGTTTCCTCACTGGAGAACTGCAAGTGCAACGAAAGCGCGTAGGAAATTGCACCCCGCAGGCCGGAAAACCACATTATGAAAGCCATTTTGTTGGTGATCTTGTGCTCGCGGAATCGATTGACCAACCACGCCAGAGGGAAAATGTTACACGCTCGGCCGATCAGACACAAGATGATTGCCCAGATAACGAACGAGAGCTCGCAGCGGTGCTTGAAGGAAAATATTGCCAATCCAAGATAGGCAAAGACGCACGTTTCCGCCACAAAGGCCAACGTTCGCATCGTCTGTTGCATCGTGATTTGAGTTACCGTGGACAGATTGAAATGTGTGTAGTGGGACATCACGATACCGCAGAACAGAATTGCCATAATTCCTATAAAGGAGAAAACATAAATTCATAAACCCTGTATGTGCAATCAACTCAAAACTAATAAATTTGCTCTTATCTCTACTCACCTGATAAATGAATACCTTCGGCGAGAACGTACGGTGCATAGGTAAATACCAACATCAGTCCAAATTCAAGCGACGGATGCTTTCGAAGATCCACGTGTTTGAGTAGCAGAGCACCCATCAACGCAAACACCACTCCAATGCCAGCCGACGCGAAGAACATCAGGCAGAAAGTGTTTAAAGCCGATATGATCGATTCCCCGGTACCCTCCGAGCCGGATCCGGAAACCATTGGCATTACCGTTGTCGTCAGCACAATCGAAATGGCATCATTCAGGATACTTTCACCAAACACCAACATGTTCAGTATAGGGTCCACATCCAACGCGTGGAATATGGCAACCGTTGCCACCGGATCCACAGCCGAAATCAGTGAACCAAAGGCAAAAGATTCCACAAAGTTCAACCTATAAGCGACTTCCGCCAGGCCCAACAAATACACACCAGAACCGATTACCAGCGCTGAGATGGTTGTTCCAATGATGGCAAACACCAAAATCGATCCAATATTTTGGAAAAAGTTACCCTTGTGCAGATTGTATCCGGACTCAAAGATAATCGGCGGTAGAAGAACCAGGAAGAACGCCGTCGGCGAGAACACTTCCTCTCGTTCCCAGTTGGCAACGTGCTTTACGGAAGAATTGTTTAAAATCAGTCCAATCAACGCCCCAAGAAATACCACTACGATGCTTTCCGGTAGGTACTGGAATCCGGTCTGCAGCATCATGTGAATTAAAAGGATCCCGAGCGCGATAACGCACAGAACGAAAAATATTGACATCGAACTATAGTGTTCCTGTTCGACCGCATTCTTCTCCGGTGACATAGTCGTCGTGGCATTTTTCGGGAGTTCCTTCACCAAATCCTCCTTGACCGGCTGATGTTCTTCGATTGGAACTGTCGTTCGGTTAACATCTGGATCTTTCGCTACAGTAACAGTTGATAAACTTCCAATGGCTCCTCCATTTCCAGCCGTCGGGAGCTGAACGTCCGATGCAACGTTATAGAAAGTGGTGAAAAGAAATCCACAAATGAGCAAAAAATAGATCAATCTCGACTTCATTGCGTCCTTGAAGCTCTGAGTCATAGCTCGTGAAAGGGGAACAATGTAGAGCTCTGGGGTGGCTTTTAAATTCCACTCGAATCCAGCCAAAATTTTCTATTGCATGGCTCCACTTGAAAGTCACTTCACTGTGTATAATCTGGCACACCGACAACCGTGACCGAAAGAACTAATTTATTAACTTTACGAGCGATAAAACGGGCAAACTGTTCCATCTGACGAGCGATATTGTTTTGACGGGGCCATCATCGGGAAAGGCTTGTCGCGATTTGCAGCTTCGAGAAAAACATAAAACACCACAATGACATAACGATTGACGAAACACGCATGCAAACCATAATAATCGATTAAGAGAGAAGCTTTTAGTACAGCCCTGCAAAATATGCACGCTAAACGTAAAATGACAAAATAATAATAAAAATCCAAATTAAGAACAAAACAGGGGAGGGGTCAGCACAAGATATGACCGGCCTTGTATTACTCAAAGTGATAACCAGCTATAAATGGCTCTAAAATGTACTACGTTATCTGTGCATGGTCCCTTAGAGTGCACTGCTGGACAAAAGACAAAATACAGCAGCAACCAAATTGGGGCTAATATGCTACTCGGTTTGCCAGTGGAATGGCGAAAAAGTTTACTAGCGAAGGTTGTTGTCTTAATAGACAATCAAATTGAAAAATATGTACAACACATTCTATTGCTGACCTTGAATACCTCGAGGAATACCTACCATGAAACCCTCTTATAAATGTATTGTATCTATTAGTCAACTTTTGTTACCCAAACTACATTAAAGGATTATATGAATACATTTTATAAACAATAATCCCCCACTCATCCGACAAAATCATGGCCGTACTTTCAGAGTTTGAATCGCTAATCTGACTGTCAAATCCAATCTAAAAAATCAAAACAAACATAAAGCATGCTTACAGCACACATCACATATCGTCGATGTTAAGTATGTAATCCAGTTATCATTGTATGAGGTAATAACATTTTAAGGACAGATAATATAATGATCATTGAATGATTTTTTTTGCTGTTGCTATCACTGCCTTAGGAATTATATAGTTTATACTATGCCTCTAAACGTTTTTGATTACGTGGACTCGAGCGTGGACTATAGCCAAATATGTGTTTGATTCAGTTTCAATCTGGATCGGGTTGATTTAAAAAATGTCAGTTTGATCGTATGTAACCTATTTCAGACCAAACAAAGCCCTGACAAAATGTATGGGTTCGAACTGGGTTGGAACTAGTTCCAATCCGTTTATTAAACAAATTGCTATATGACGTTATTGCTGTGCCTAACCAGTGAATGACGTCTAAACGAAGACTTATACACATCGATTCTGCCTCGGATTCCGCAATATCACTGCTGATGCTGCTGAATCATGCTTACTAATCCACTTCAGTTGTATCATTTGATTACTAATCTAGGAGATCACACAATGAAAACTAGAATGATAACAGTAAAGCGTGCAGTAAGTATTGGGCTTGTTTGGTCAGTGTATCCTGATGAAAAATTCCATAAACGTATGATAACCCAAATTATATAAATATTCCTCAAATTATTTGGATGATACCCCGATCACTTCGTTAAGTAAAATAACCATAAGAAATTTATTGGGGTAGCTTACAGCATCCGATTAGCTACCACTGCAGTGTTGTGCAATTTTCAGATTATTGACAAATGCAGATAAATTCAAAATGTTTATCAAACAGAATTTTGAAATATTTGCTTGATTTGCATGCATGACATAGTTCAAGGTTCTTTTTATTTAAACTAGTATATTATGACCGTAATGTTTTTTGGCAAATTTATTTTTATAATTAAACTTAATTGTAGATAATTTAATTGTAGACACCTAAAAGTAAACCAAACTATATTCGTGTGGATGCACCTTCACTAGCTGGGAAAAAGAACGCTTTAAACATGCTTCAAACCCATCAAGCTATATACAGCGAAAGTAAAAATTCATAACAATCGTGGCAGTGTGCCACCCAGCATCCGCGAAAGATGATTATTCAATTTTTTTTTTTGAATACTATCGGACATCAACAACGCGCGCCAAACGAAAACAACTAACGTGCCTGATCGCGTCGTTAAGATCACTCAGCTGAAACTGCGCGTTCGCATGCTCTTATCACCACAGACTTCAGGACAAACGATCGCTTGAGCGAGTGGGCACGAGCACGAGATTTTGCTTCTATCGCCGTTAGAGCACGGGGGTAAAGTAGGAACCGCTAGGTAGGACCCGCGTGTTAATGCGATAAGCGCATTTGTGATTGGTCATTCTGTTGTTGTTAGCCGAGATCGATTCACTTAAAGTTTGCGAAGGATAAGGATAATACGCGGGTGAATACAGGAGTGAATGTTCAATTATATTTGATTAAGTTTCGGAGATCAAATGAATGGTGATTTCGCTTGTCAATTGGCAGATAATTTAATATTTTTTAATAACATAGATGAACTTTCTAAAAAACTATTTCAGCAATACAAATAAGAACAGTAACGTGTTATCACCGAGGGGCGCCCACTCATCGATTTGACTGCATGGTAATGAAAATACCGTTCAAATATTTATTAATAATTAAAATATTTCAAGCGGTATTGAAATAATAAACAAAATATTTTAAGCAGTATTGAAAATAATTAACAAATATTCTGTGATAATTAATGTCATTAATAATATTTTGTGTGGCATTGAATGTATTTTAAAAACTAATTTTTGACAGTATTTTAATTATTCATTGAATTGGAGAGTGTATTTAACGTAATGAATACAACAATGATAAGATTTTAAATAATTGTTGATTAAGCTGCGTAGTATTGAAAGATTTGTGCGTGCCCCTCGGTTATCACACCATATTTGAACTTTTTTGTTTTCTTCAATGTTCGTCATTGGAAGACGTTTTGCGAATACAAAATGCTCGCAAATTTGAATTCAGTCGTCAGTTTGTGATCATCCGTGGATTTGAAAGCATCAGCATTTTCTGCTTCAGCCCGTAGCTTTCCTGGAGGAAGGAGTTCAATTGCTGAAGATCATTAGTATTTTTTTTTTGATTATTTCAATAAGTGTTCGAGATCTGGAAACTAGAAAGTGATAGTGCGTTTTCTGTATTGGAAGTGAATAATCTTTGAGGAATGGCAGTTTGAAATTTAGAGTGTAGAAAATCGATTAAGCTCTCGTTTCTCGCCTGGTGAGTAATTTTATTGCTTCTATTTTGGTGAGAATCGTCCATCCGCTCTCTTTGGCTATCCGTCAAGAATTTTCATTCGGCTCAGTCTCTTTTCCACAAAGTTTTGCAAAGTAAAGACGGGCCCAAGCGAGGCTCCCGCGAGTGCTTTTCAAATATAAAAAATAGGAGATAAAAGTCTGCCTACTGTAATTAATCAGTGAGTGTTGGATGATTTGGTGTTAAAAATAGATTAATTTTCTAATCGATTTTGTGTATTTTTTTCTATCCGTGTGATTAGGTGCATAAAGGAAGAAAAATCGGTAAACAAACCGTAAATAGTGACTACCAAATAATCGGTCTCCTGTGGAAGTGCTCGTGAAAAAGAGTAATCGTCGAAGAAGTTCTGCTGCAGTTTTTAATCAGTCAAGTGAAAGCAAATCATTGAAAAATCGGACTGAAAATGCCGCAGACCAAAGCAACAAATGGATTTGCCTCCAATGGCCATAATGGCTACGAAATGGAAGACGGGTGCTCGTTTTTGTTCACCTCAGAATCTGTAGGCGAGGGTCATCCAGGTAGGTTCTAAACCAGGCAAGGGCATCTATTCATAGGCAATTTTTACCCACCCTGACCTTTTCATACCATTCATGTATCCATGCATCGTAGATAGCAGGACCCGCATCTCATTAGATACAGAGCTGCAGATAGCAAGGAGCAGTATAGTTTCAAATTCTACCTCGCCATATTGGAGGTTATGTTTCATCTTTATTTTTTCCTCTTGGGCGAGAGCGCTCCTCGCGGTTCGAAACTTTACAAGCACGCAGTAATAGTATTGAAAAATGTGCTTCTCGCGAGTGCATTTAATTACGCAATATTGCGGACGATTTCACTACGCGGAAATTGTGGGTTTGATCGAACAATTTCCGACTAGAAAAGCGATTTTGATTGAAACTGGTATTTCCAATCAGAACCATCGGAAAACAAACTTTGTTTTGAGGTGAGAAAACATGGCGGATATTATCCAGTCTGCTGGTTGAAGTAGGAAGTGTTTGTTGATTTACTGCATCTTCGCGGTCTCTTAATCAATATAGTCGGGTTGAGGGAGAGCTATTTTCGATTCAATTTCAGCTCGTGTGCCAGAATCGGCTACACATCCGTTATTGCGCCGTTTGTCTATCTTCTTATGAATAAATGCGATGTTGTGCTTTGGAGAAGTTCGTTCGCATTATATCGCAGTGGTCAATACAACCCAAAATGTCATCCAGTGCTGCCAGTATTTCGATGGCCATGAATCCAATTCGTATTGAAAGCATTTGGCTCTTTACGCGAACAAATTTATGAGAAAAGGTACGAAATAATACATGAATCCAGCATTTTGTTGTGATTTTCTAACACCCGTACAGATCTTTTTTGACTTGTCTTTCTGACAGGCTAAGACCATATCTTAGTCCACCTCGCAGATTTTATTTTGAAACAACCATTAAAATACATGTAAGAAAACTCTTTCTCAGACAAACTGGCAAATCGAAATTCTCATATTCGCTAAAAGTATATGATCTCTTTTCACCGATTAATTTTTGATTATGAACATGATTTGTAGACCAACAATTGAAATAGGCGGAACAACCAAACGTAAACAATGGCTTTAATCGCAAATTTCTGGAGAATCAAAAGACACCCATGCAAATTAACAATATCATTCGATAAAGGAAATTTGCTCTATCAGATGGTGGTGTTAGATTGCGTGGATGTGTTTTGATTCTCGAGAAATTTGCGATTAAATCCATTGTTTACGTTTGGTTGTTCCGCCTATTTCAATTGTTGGTCTAGATTTTATCCGCAAACTAACAATCTATAATGTTACTCCCTTCGATATACTTGTGCTGCTGATTGAGGACTTTCGGATGAGCTATTTTTCAAAATCCTGGTCGTTCAGGAAGTATTCCGAAGTGTATTCTGAAAATTAGTTCAGGTGACCAAGACCTTTCAGCTGAGTTCGGTTGGTTCCTAAACTGGACCAACTGCTGCCGAGATTTCAGAAAATTTCATGGACTTAAAAAAAAAAAAAAAAAAATTAAAGCTATTGGAACTTATTTTTTAATGGTTTGAATTTCGTCGGAATGAATGTGATGGGGAAAAGCCAATTTAACTGGCGTAAAAACCCCATACCCCATACAGTACAAACATTACAAAACAAGCACATCCGTGAACATAACATAAATATCAACTGTAGTCAAAACATAAAAACTTATAATTCAATCAGCTCCACTGGACATCCATCATCCGAAGCAATCCTCGTCGGCAGTGGTGACTCGAAAAAAAAAGACACAGGTAGCATAATTGTTACAATTTAAGAGCAATGGAATATTACTAATCTTTCACAGTAACGAATCTCACGTGATCCATTAATGCAATTCAGTAAATCTACGCTCAAATGTTGCCACATTAGAGTTGGAGTCGAAGAGGATGTAGGCAACCTATGATCACAAAATGTTGGGATCAAAAACCCTGATTAAGTCACTTCTTATTGTTATTTTCTACTCGGGAATCGGGGGACGGGCCTGGCGTAATGGCTAACATACCTCTCACGCTAAAGGTCACGAGTTCAAAAATCATCCCCTGACAAGTCACTAGTTACCTAAAATGTGTTCAAGTGATTGTTTTACTGCATTTAAATTTTATTCAACGTTTCGAACAGAATATTATTGGAAAAAATTAGTTGAGATTGGCGTAAACGATTCGAAATAGGTACGTTCAGTTTTCTTAAAAATCCTTCTTCACATGTTCCATCATCATCCTCAAAATATTCTTCTTGTTGCTACAATCTAATCATCAAGTGCCGAGGCTTCCGATCTACTTCGTTTGAGAATATGTTGAGAATGATGATGCAACATGTGAAGAAGAATTCTCGTATTGTTTCGTGGTTTTCAAAGGCCAAAGTCAAGGAAAAGTTGCAGTTAACGGAGACCATTGGTTGTTATTCCGAAAGTGCCATAATCCCATTTGATTAAAATTATATCTGAGGCAAACCAAACGCCAACCAATGAATGGCTCGCCTCTCGCCTACTATCCAGCTGAAACTTTCCTGGCCAAGGATCGTGCTCATATTCGGTTTGGGAGAAAAATCTGTTTTTCTCATAAGCAGCGCTTCACATGAAAATAATTTACACAGGAAATTGAATGTTTAACTAGGAAATAGTATCTGTCAAGAGCATGGAACGCTGCGTCTACCAACAAAATTAAATTAAATTACTGGAATCAAATAAAACAAAATGAATACTGTGGTTTAATTCCATTTTACAGATCATGATCAGTGAGGTGATGATTGAGAAATAGTAACATGTGAACTACAATCTTCGCAGTAGTCTAAAAATTGATAGCATGACCATTATAATAACTCAAGTCTTTTATTACGGTTGGCACCGCTGAGTCGCAGTTCACATGGTACGTTTTCAACGATTTCTCGATAACGATACAACCTATCAAGCCATAGGTAATCAAACTAAATACTTGAAAAAACACAATTTTTGGTGTAAATACAGAAAATTTTAAAACATGACTATATGGACACGCATGATATAATCACAGACAATCAGACATCTGTTCAGCGTACTATCCATCATAGCATACTCAACAGATGGCGGCAGTGTTTTAGCGAAGATGTTTTTATATTCAAAATATTCAATGATTTATGTCTGTTTGTCTGTGCTATAATTACGAACCGCATATTTTTTTTATTAGCATGTGAAAAATCAAAATCATATCAAAAGAGCTGAGTAATCATCGCTGATGCATAAACTTTTTAGTGCGTCCATAAAGCCTGTAAACTATTTTAGCAACACTGATTCTCGAGCATATAGGTACACTGTATATAAAGTACTTATCGCAGCCATCAATGGAAAAATACGACGGTGCTAGTGGGCAGTGTGGTAGTGAATTGCACTGCACGATACGATGGATGCATTAAATAAAATATTGATTTTCAGTGCTCCTCACGCGCGTTGCTGTGCCAACCATGAAAGCGAAAAAAGCCGCGCGGCATGGGAACCACGTGGTGGTGTGCTACGATTAATAATTATATTCACGGAATCCAAAGCGCTCTAGCTCGTTGCTATTTTCGTAGAAAAACTATTTATAACCCATTTGCATGAGACTGATCTTCGTCAGCAGCGCCATGACAAAGGGCACGGAAATTGAAAAATAAAAATAAAAACACATTGTCCATGCTGCTGCTTGACACCTCGTTGTAGTCTTTATCAGTAAGAATCTGGACTGATCCTCATGACCGAGAAGGGTATGAAGCCAAACAGCTCCAACGTATTGTTTGTAGTCGTCGTGCAATGGTGTATGCTGCTTGGTTGTTGATTCGGGGGAACTACATATATGGTTTAGTGTGATTTCATGCGATTCACCTCGCTTTGCGCCGGTCATCCATCTATAGATATCGATTTTCACCTTTTTCGCGCTCTATTCGCGGGGTGTTTGTGAAGGCTTTCGTGGAAACCAATACAGAGCCCCATTCCACAGCATTCGGCTTGTTTTGTTTTGGTTCTTCTTTTTTTCCGGCATGATGTTTTGTGTATCGCATATGGCTGAGATGTATGTACGAAAGGGGAGGAAATAGAGAAAACCTCAAGAATGAGAAAACGAAAAATGTTGTTATGTTCTTCTGGTTTTAGGGCTAGGTATAGATACCTAATTTGAATTGATAATAATTATGTTGCTCCAACCGGTATTATCCTTGGATTAAATCTCGATCAAGAATGTCCGGCTGCTTTGAAGTCGACAGCAGATTTAATCAACTCGACTCTAAGCAAACATTTTGCAGATCATTCAAACAGGGAAGGGATTCAATGTTAAACCGCCCTTAAAGTCGCATTGTTTCCAGTAGGAAACGGAATTCAAAGTGCTCTAGCTGGTCGCAACTTTCTGGTTATGTAATTGAATTTAAGCTTATCAAGAAATCCACACATAGCAGCGTCATGCTTATGATGGAAATTAATGTCAATTTCTGTTTTTCTCATCCAAATTTTCAGACAAGATGTGCGATCAGATCAGTGACGCCATTCTGGATGCACATCTCCAGCAGGATCCGAACGCCAAAGTTGCCTGTGGTAAGTAGAAGATTCAAACTTCATGTCTGGAAGCCAAATTTTTTTTTTACAATTTGTCCATACTTCATCCAGAAACCATCTCAAAGACTGGAATGATTTTGCTGTGCGGAGAGATCACCTCAAAGGCTGTCATCGACTACCAGAAAGTAGTTCGTGAAACCGTCAAGCACATCGGTTACGATGATTCCTCAAAAGGTAGGTTCAAATCATTCTGACTCATCATTTCTCGTGTATATTCACATTCGTTGGTTTATCTGAACTCGATTGAGATTCGGGATGAATTGGCTGTGTATGCCTTTTGATGTTAAATTGCAATCCTCCTCCTAGGCTTCGATTGGCGTACGTTGAATTTATTGGTCGCCATTGAACAGCAATCGTCGAACATTGCCCAAGGTGTACACATTGACCGCGACGAGGATAACGTTGGCGCGGGTGATCAGGTACCTTACATTGGTCTATTGATAGGATACAGCTAGGGAAAATCGATGTTTAGTGGTGGCACATCGGCCCATTGATTGGATGAAGGCCTTGACTTTTCATATATTTCGTTGTGATCGTCGTGTTTGAAACTCAATCCGCACCTAATCATGATCATCCTCATTGACGCCTATAGCTGGACACTGTGACGAAAACTAACGGAAGCGATAATTTTGCATGGATTCTGTAAAGAGCGACGATAAGGATTAGTAAACATCAAACTCCATTCACCAGCATGCTTCTTCCAACCAGCGTTGTTGTGCAACTTCCAAGTGCCACCAGGGTTATCATCTTACAAAAAGAGTCATCTAGGGTCTTGTTGAGTTGAGAGCGTCTTTTGAAACGCTTTTTTTCATTTTTAGTCTCCAATTCTATGACTTAAGTATTTTCAATTTCCGTTCACGTCAGCGAGTAGATTTGCGCGTGTAGCCTCAGCAGGTTTCAAAAGTTCTCAGGGTATTCCCACCACAGTGTTGATTAACGTGATGGCCGCATGATAACATTGACAAAAAATACAGCCAACTGACACACGTTGTCGCTGATTATCGCTTTGCTTTCTAGTTAATTGGAAATTATTAGCAGAATAGAATTACGCTAGTAGGGCACTTTTCCATGGTTGCATAACGGATTTCACGGGTCTCAGTTTTCTTCAACGTCTCAGTAGGTAAAATCCATTGTTGCTATGTTTATATGTCTCGTGTTGAGAGGAAACTCGTGTGTTCAGTAAAACGTGTTCCCTCGTGGCCCTGTTGCCATGCACCGCAGTTGGATTCCGAGGAAGCCATTTATGCCACTTCGCATCAAGTATCGCTTTGGTAGACGGTTTGGATAAACATCGTCCTCGTCTTTCGGCGACTTGCAAACCTCGGTCATCGAATCTTAGTTCACCATGTTATCGGTCGTCTGGTCATCGGAGAAGCGGTAGTTTTGCTGATGGTTGTATTTTTCTGCGAATCAAAATTACATAAAATGTTCGTTCCCTCTCGACGCCTCGGAGTGTTTGTTAATGTTAAGGGCACGCGAGCTGATGTGCAATTCCGATTTCGTAAACAACGCAGTATATCTTCAGTCGATTTATAACGTACTTTTATTCATCGTCTGTATTTGCACGTATTTTCCTATTTTTCCATCGCATGCATCCTGGGAAAAAATGGTGTAACAATCACACACATTTTTGAATTGAAACATACGACAGGATTCGATTATAAAACATGTAACGTACTGCTTGCACTGGATCAACAATCACCAAACATTGCAGCTGGAGTGCATGTAAATCGTTCGGAGGAGGAAGTTGGCGCCGGAGATCAGGTTAGGACATTTTAGCGTAACCTAGTTATTATTGCATACCATTCACAATTCTCCGAACCTACTAGAAAGTTCTTTCTATATTTATTAGCGATAAGAAATCTGACTGACAAGCAACTGCTTCAAGACATGTATTACAGCGTCATTAAACTGTCGGTTTCGGGTTATCTCGGTTCAATTCCGTTTCCAAATTAACAAATCACGAGAGAAAGAAACACGCGTTGATCTTTCGCTATGTCGTACTGAATCTTGCTCTGGTTCATAAAGTCGGCGCGTGGCATGATCGGGTTGTGGTGGTTCAAAATGATCGCATGTTTTGAAATAAGCTTGACCAAAAGTAAACATACCTACCTATCGACTTTGCACAGACGTTTCCATTTAAATTCTTCATGCCGCTGAATACGGATAATAACCTAAATCATGCTCACACTCATATACTAAATAAACAAAAATATCATATGGTCTCACTTTGTGGTGGTCTGCGATCAATCGAGGTGGTCGAAGCAGAATCGATTTGAACAGCAAATCATCATTTGGCGAACAATCTGTTGAATAATGTTTTGGCTATTGCCTCGACATGGGTACCTTCATTTGCTGACCCCTGCAGAGGGGTTTGTTTACTGGCCGTGATCAGCGAAGCTTCACGCGTAATTTATTATTATAGTGTAATTTTGATTATCAGTGTCGGGAAGAATGATGACGCAGATGGAAACATCGACCGCTCGGGTGGTTATTTTCCGTTGACGTTTCTAAATTCAGATCTTTAGTTTTAATGTCACCGGAAAATAATTCCAAGAAAGAACCATTCATTTGTACGTTACATTACTGCGCTGTGCGGCACAACACTCTCATTAGCATTTTTGACGAAAATGGATTGGAATCTATTGTCGAGTTCCTTAACTTCACAATGAACAGGAAAAGTTTCAGTCAGAAAATATCACGAATAATACCAAAACTATAGTACGTTGTCCCGTCTATAAGAGTCCATATAGAAAACAAAAAAAATTCAACGCCGTTTTTCTCAGCTTACTGTTTTCACGAATGGGACAACTATGCTGAAAAGGGCAGATTGCTTTACAGAAATTTTCTGTTGGCCTATTTCTAAATCCAATAGAGACAGTATTGGTAGATTCCAGTTCAAATGCAGTTGCAACTTATTGCTTATCATTCAATGAAACAGATTGTTCTTTCCCACTAACGATGATCGTGACCACTGCTCGCTTTCACTAACATAACGTTTAGATTAGCACTTGGGCCGAGTATACCTAGTTGCCTCTACTGCATGTACACACTACAAGCGGTAATCTACACCAAACCATTTTCATTGACCTGTACTCCTTCTCCCTAATCCACGGCTAGGGTTTGATGTTCGGATATGCAACCGATGAAACGGAAGAATGCATGCCATTGACCGTTGTGCTGGCCCATCGCCTGAACGAAAAGATCGCTGAGCTGCGCCGTAGCGGTGAATTCTGGTGGGCTCGCCCAGATTCCAAGACCCAGGTCACAGCCGAATACGTCTTTGAATCGGGTGCATGCATCCCACAGCGAGTGCACACCATTGTGGTGTCGCTGCAGCACTCGGAAAAGATCGGCCTGGATGAATTGCGCAAGAATATTATGGATAAGGTCGTCAAGGATGTCATTCCAGCCAAGTACTTTGACTCGAACACCATCGTTCACATCAACCCTTGTGGTCTGTTCATCATTGGTGGACCACAGGTTTGTTAAATTTAGTGTTGCTGAAGCTGCTGGAGAACTAACAATCAAATTTTTTTATTAGGGTGACGCTGGCCTAACTGGTCGTAAGATCATCGTAGACACTTATGGAGGTTGGGGCGCTCACGGTGGTGGTGCCTTCTCGGGCAAGGACTTCACAAAGGTCGATCGCTCGGCTGCATATGCGGCTCGTTGGGTGGCCAAGTCGTTGGTGAAGGCTGGAATCTGCCGGCGCTGTTTGGTGCAGGTTGCGTATGCAATTGGACTCGCTGAACCACTTTCGATCACAGTATTCGACTATGGAACTTCCAAATACAGCCAGAAGGAACTGCTAAACATTGTCTCAAAGAACTTTGATCTACGTCCGGGAAAAATTGTCAAGTGAGTACCGACTTATCAACGTTTCATTGTGAGTCAACCAAACGACTCTGATAATCTTTCCTTACTCCTAGGGATCTAAATCTGAGGACACCATTCTACCAGCGTACTAGCACATATGGACACTTTGGACGCGAAGGCTTCCCATGGGAGGAACCCAAGGAATTGGTGATGAACTGATTGGCAGCACCAACCGTTGGTTGCGGTAGTAGGAGCGAAGCGCTCGCTTCTTATACCGCAGACAGCAGCGAGGAGGTTGCACCAGTCGCTTCGAAAAAAGCCAAGCTAGACGTTTAAGAGTATAACCGAGCATGAATAGGGTTTATTTTAAACAAAGTTTTTCGCCAGATTTTCTTTTTACAAGTGTAAGTGTCTTAAGTTCCCGTGACAGCTGTAAGTTCTATACGCTGATAGATTAGTTCAGTTGCCCTTTCAGAGTCAATAAGCCGGATAGTGTCATATTTATGCGCAAGAAAATAGTTAATATTTTCAATGTGTATGTTTGTCTGTGTGGCAATGTGATTCCTGTATTTTTTTTTATGCGAGGTAAATTACCCTTCCAGTTTACATGAGTTTTTCAAGGTGAATCAAAATTGCCAGTCTAGAACATTCGAATCGTGTAGGAAACAAAGTTTAGGAAACGTGATCTATAGAGTTAAAAAATTGTAAAAGAATTTCTTCGCACTTGCCGCCTTTGTTCGTTGGTTAGCCCCAGTCTTACTTTACACAAAATCACCGCAAGAAAAATGTAACAATCGCAACAATGTCTCTACAATTAGTTTGTACGCTAACACATACACATACATTACACTCTTTCAAAATTGAGAAAAACAACAAAAAGTAGTATGTATACAAAAAAAGTGACATAGTGTTTACAAAAAGTACACAACAAATACAAAAAATAACTGTAAAAAAGCAAAAAAAAGTAGAAACATACGCTGCTCGATGCGGTTAGGTATAAAATGGATCCCGTGAATTTTCGGCAAAGCTAGATCATTCGGTTGGCCACAGTAGGAACCCCATCAAGTGCGCTTCCAGCGTAAGACCTATGGAAGTGCTGCCTGCTGCAAAATTCGTTGTATGACGTGAAAAGAATCAGTTCAAACGTTTCATAGTGATATATATTTTTGGTGAATGGATTCTAGGGACATGATATTAAACATGGAGAAGGTACGTAAGATTCGACATTGCCATGTTGCAAGCGTGAATCGAAGAAAGGCTTGAAACTAAAATATATAGAATATGAAACACTTGCCAAGGTAAAACTTCGTTGAATCTGGATTATGCTCTTTAACAGTGATCAGTACTCAATTGGTTCTTTCAAACTTATCACTTAACATCAAATAGCGTGTCCATCCATAGACATGAAATCAGCATTTATGACGGCAATATCTTTATAACGTTTAAGAATCGAATGGTGCTTATTGGATAAAGCCTTAAAGGTGACATCACAATTTGCAAACCATGGGACAGCCGTACTCTCAGGTCTGACAAGATTAACGGAATTGTATCAAATAACTGCCAGTTTTGGTTTTGATTAGATCATAGTGTAAAACACATTCAATAGATTTAACACGCTGCTCCGATTTAGCAATACACAAACTGTAATGGAATCTCCTCATTCTGTAGGTTGATGTACTTCTAGAATTCAAAATCCATAAATTTGAATTCTAGGGCCACACAGCAAGCCACAGAGTAGAACATTATATTTTTTCATAGTGCGTAAAAAGTAGCACTTTGCAAACTATTTCATTCATCATCAGGAATGCAAATACTTCTTTTCCAAAGTGGCGGCCCCGATGCCACCGATCTGGTCCAGTTGTACGATCCTCTTCATGTTCTTCATGCTTTTGGAACCTACATCCGGATGGCAAACTGGTCGGCATCGATCCTGGGCTTGTCCTCAGTTCAATAATCTCAATAATCCACACGCTACGAAGTTTATTTTTTTCACATGTTCATACACGTTTTGTGTTGTGTTTACGCAAAGGAATTTATTTGTGGAAAAGAGCCATTTCGAAAACACTCCGGTCCGCTGAATGGTTGAAAGGTGCGATGTGGTACAACAAAAAAATCAGAAAAAAAAAACTACAGAAAATTTAAGTTTTTTTAAACTAGCAAATGTAACTGCTTATAAATGTTAGCGTGCTTTAAGTTTTGCTAAAATTTCACTTGTAGGAAGTTGCACCTGTTATTTCAGTAAGTGTGCAGAGTAAAACACAAAATACTTTCCTAAGAGCACTGTATTTTGTTTTTACAATAGTAAATTTTATCAAAACGAAAAATCCAACGTTTTAACGCCAGTTATATAAAAATACCTTTAACAAAAAGAAAATATAACCCAAACCAGACAAGAAAAAAAGAAAAGAAAAAGTACCACGGCACGCTTTGCGCGAGGGCACGGGCTCAACCAAAAATAGAGTTTGAATAGTTTTTTAGTTGTCTTTTAAAGAATATTCCCTAAGGTACGATTTACTTACTTACTGCTGAAAATAAAAGGCGAAGAAATATGAAACAAATACTGAATACCAATCAAATGGATTGCATATGAAAACAAACATGATAATAAACATGAAAAAGCAGAAAAATATGAAAATAAAGTCCCACTACTTCTGGTAGAGTAAGACAATTTCGGAGTTTTTGATTTTTGTGTTTTGGATAATTCCCTTGGGCTCTTTGGGGGGTAATTCCGACAGTTATTCGCATTTTGGAAACGCCGCACAATTCACTCTAGTGATGCATAATCTACGCTATAAACGGCTATAACATCTATTGATAAAAAAAAGCATTTGTTTTTGAACCCTCCTACTCTGCCTATAATCGCATATCAATCCCATATATATCCCAATTTTGAGATAACAACGGAATTCACTTTCAATTGACATTTGCTTTCATTTGATAAAACTATGGAGATCATGAAAAATGTAAAAACAACATGTATAAAGAGAGAAAAGGATTATTAATTGATTTCCATTTAATTCCACTACCTTATTTGCTTATCCTCGACAGATACGCGTATTTCGAGTCGAGTATTAGTACAAGATACTGAAGAAGTCTGCACATTATAAACGAAATACGCGTATCTGTCAAGGATAAGCAAATAAGGTAGAAAAATTAAATGGAAATAACTAATCCTTCTCACTCTCTCTTTTTATTAAACATCAAGTCATTTTGTCCTATCGAGCAAAGTAATCGCATATCAGTCCCATCCTGAAATTTAGTTGCCAAGTTACAGTTCTGCTTCATTTTTCACTGATATCACAAAACATGCATCTTAAGTAGCTTTCTTTATTAAAGCGACTTTCAGCCATCGGCTGGTTTATCTCTGAAACCAAAACATTCAAGGTTCACTTGATTTCAACTTGAAAAACATATGAATACAATTATTAATTTGTTTTAAAATAATTACATTGAATTTCAAATCCCCACCCGTCTGCTATTTTCTCAATGTCTACTTTTTCCATATGGGACAATTATGCTTTTTATCTGTACTAACACTACTCATAAATTCATACACCCACTTTCTCGAACATGAGAATCGGTAATATGTACGATATGAGTGGACGTATTCTTCTCTGCAATTTTGAGCCAGTCACTTAAAAGTGACCACCTTTAGCCCTAGTTGTGTAAGGAGATCGGTGGCCTAATAGTGACCCGTTTTGCTTACTGAGCAAAATATCGTGGCCCAAACTCCTTCACATTAGCGTCGAAATTTATCACATTGTCATCATATCCGAACCTTTATCAATTGTCAAGGTGATTTCTGATCGAACGATCCCTACCTAAAGCCCTCTAGTTAAAGTATGGACGACTGTCACCATAAAACTGAAAAAAAGCTGTTCCAATTCAGGCATAACATTTGATAAAGGCACAAAAGCATTTGTAAACAAACTTTCTAAGGCCCTTTACACGCGAACCAAAGTACGCCCAATCAAACCATCAACATCATCGGATAGGAGCAACTATCACCTTTCCGAAAGTGGTATTGGTTTGCGTGACTTGGGACCGAAGAGAGTACCAGAGCTGAGCCAAAAAGTTGAGCACATTATTTCGGGAACTTCTAGTCTTAGAGTTACCTCTATGGTCGTACCTAACTCTAAGACTAGTAGGTCCCGAAGAAACGTGCTCAACGTTTTGGCTCAGCTCTGGTACTATCTTCGGTCCCAAGCTAATCGATTCACCCCTCGAAACATAGGAAAATCCAATAACCCCTCAAACAAACATTGCGTAGTACTAGAATTTTAACTAGAATGGGGTACGTTAATCGATTTGCTTGGGACCAATAGGCTAGTTAACTAGTGAGCCAATTTAAAATCGTTAGTTTCGTATTCGTTGGTCGTTGTTTGTTGGTCGTACTTTGGTTCGCGTAAGGGCCTTAGAATGTTTGTTTACAAATGCTTTTGTGCCGTTATCAAATGTTATGCCTGAATTGAGCTAAGCGGTGCATTTTGACGGTTCGATTGGAACAACTTTTGACAGACGTCCATACTTTTACCATGGAGCCCTTCGCTCATTTTGAACTTCTATTCAATTTTCATACTGCCGTACTCTAACGGAACTATCCACCATAACATAAATTATCACACTAAAGCTTCATGTTAGATAGCATGTCCAACCAACTTTGAAAATCGCAAACTTCGCGTATGAAGTAACATAAAAACACTTTGAATCTATTCTGATATATTTATTTCCAGGCTACTGTGATTACTCTCCCTTGCTAGGTTTTCACCTCCAATAGTCCTGGCAGTCCGGTGGGATTGAGGAAGGAATATTACAATGACCTTTGTTATTTTGGGGACCGTTTTTACCGCTGCGTCGCCACAAAGGTCACAGGAGGGAGGGTTTATTACTAGGTACGGTTTAAGTCCTACAGTAAAAGCAACCGGTGGAAACTAACGATTTTAAATTGGCTCACTACTTGACTAGCCTACACGAAACGAAAATCAATTATTTTATTCATGTGTTTCACTTATACATTTTTGCCAAAACATCAGCCTTCTACATTCCATAAGACAAACCACATAGGTCGTATATGAATGCATAAAAGGTATGTGTGACCACTTACACATTTCATTTGACATATGATCTTCATTAACTTTTTGCAAGGCGTCTGCTTATAAGTTGACTTATACATTTTATGAATAATCAGCAATAGAAATTTGCCAAAAGGTATAAGGAGATTTCTATCCGTGTATTGGTCCCAAGCAAATCGTTTAACGTATCCCATTCTAGTTGAAATTCTAGTACTACCATATGTTTGTTTTGATTTTCTATGAAAGTTTGACAGATAAAATGAGGGGTTCGTGGATTTTCTTATGTTTCGAGGGGTGCATCGATTAGCTTGGGACCGAAGAGAGTACCAGAGCTGAGCCAAAAAGTTGAGCACGTTTCTTCGGGACCTTCTAGTCTTAGAGTTACCTCTATGATAGTATAGTTTTGATAGAAAAAAAATAGTAAAATTAAATGAATTTCGTTTCTGCACATATATATTGGTGGGGGTATTAAATTTAAACCATCAATATAGTAATTTTCCCAATGGATTTTATTTATGTGTATGTGGAATATATCGCGAGTAGTAATCATAAATTTATAGGCAACCTATTCACGATATATTCCACATAAAGTTGATCGATGTTACAAAACCATCCATAGACCTTACTGTCCATAACCATAACCATTAAAATTCTCAAACAATCAGTAAAAAGGTTCTAATATAGTTCCGAAAATTTATGGAGAAAACAAGTATTTTGAATGTTAATGGTTCTTAGCAACCCATTATTTATAAGGTTAATTTAAAAAAAAAAAAACAATACATGAGGTTAAAACTTTATCACACAAACGTTCATGTTAAGTTCCATAACCATTTAAGTTAAAGTTTAGCAGGGATTATAAATAATTTTAACCATTTCCGGTGAGGTCAACTTATGATTTGCGTTTATGCGGGTTGTGATAAAAAATTCTCTTTTCAGTTTTAAATATTATTCTTTCAGAATATTAATACCGTGCCGATTCAAATTTCGGACACTTAAACTCGAATTTCGGACACTTTTAAAAGTTGATTATCTCGGTCGAATATGATCCACATGTCTTGTAAATTTTAAATTTTTTTGACTAGTGCCCTCCACGATTATCTAACATCATTACTTTGTTTCTAACTGGATGTAATATTTAATTAAAAATGAAAGTGTCCGAAATTTGAATCGTCCGAAATTTGAATCGGAACGGTATATAATCAAAAATGATAAAAATTCAATCAAAAAAGATTAAATTTCAATCAAAACTGATTAACACAGAATGAAAAATGATTAACATTTATTCACACAAGATAACTTTTGATTTAATCAACCATGATTATAGGCTGGGTTTAATATCAGATGATTTATTTTTTAAGCAAGAAATAATTAATGTTTAATCATTCGATGTGATTAAACCGTTGTACCATAGAGGTAACTCTAGAAGGTCCCGAATTAACTGAGTTTAATGTCAAATTGATTAAATATTAAGCAAAATGAGAAAAGTTCAATTAGTTTTCAGTGTGTAAATAAACAACACGTTCTATTCTTTCTCACCACTCCCCCGTTTTTCAGTAAGCTTTTTCTTCCAGTGTAAAGGTGAAAAAATGACAACGAGTACCATCGCGCAAATTCAAAACAAAACAATCCGCTCGCTCGGACCACATTGTAATCTTTAAAACCTCTCAAACAAGCTGCGTGGAAAACATGTCGTTTATAAAAGTGTACAAGCAATTTGTTATAACAGCATTCAACAGAAAACTGCTATTTTTGGACGGTGATAGCTGCTGGTCTTACGAAATTAAACCTGATCTACCGCTGGAAAAATGTCGTCCACGAAAGTATTTCGACGCCGACAGTGATAGCGATGAGGATGATGATGATGCCAAACAGAAGAGCTCAGAGAATCAGCCGGAACAACAACAGTCGAATGGAAACCAAGCGGAAAAGGTACAAATTGTTGCCTTGGAGGTACACGAGACAAAGTCGCTCTTAGCGGTGGCAACCAGTGACAAGTCGTTGTATCTGTTCGAGATTGATACTAATGGTGCAGGTGGGAATCTGAAGTTCCTTTCGCGAAGGTTGGTATCGAGAGCTTCCAGCTGCATGTGCTTCGCTGCAAGCGGAGGTTTTTTGATCGTTTGTGACAAGGGCGGTGATTGTTACCGTTACGACTGTGACGACTGCAAGAAGCCGGGTCGATGGCTGTTGGGCCACATGAGTCAGGTGTTGGATGTCGCTGTCACCGATGATGAGAAGTAAGTAGCAGCCGCTTCCGGGTTGGAAAGTGATCAATGTGTAAATATATATATTCTTGATTTTTTAGATTGATCATCACATGCGATCGAGACGAGAAGATCCGTGTTACCAACCATCCGGAGTGCCACACGATCGAGACGTTTTGTCTTGGTCATGGGGAGTTCGTGTCGCAGTTGACTTTTCTGATGAAAGGGGAGAAATCGTATCTGCTGTCATTGTCGGGGGACAAAACATTGCGATTTTGGGATTATATGAATGGGAAAGAGCTGGCGAAAACAGAGTTGGATCAGCCCGGAAATCGCATCGTGACGAAATCGGTTAACGACGGAAGTGTAATTGCTGCCATTCTTTGCTATGAACCGACTAAGATAGCAATCATGAAGCTGAACGCGGAAAATTTGAAATGTGATTCGATTCAAACGTTGAACTTGAAACAGGATGAAGTATTTTCGAGCTTTGCATTTGATGAAAAATTCAATTTGTTAACATTGGTCATTGCAAAGAGCACTGAAAAGGTTTCTTTACGAGTGTATCAATTTGATAAGGAAAATTGCAAATTCAGTGAACAGAGTTCAAGTTCTATGATAGACGCATTTACCAGTAATACTGAATCCGATTGCCTGCCTTATGTAGATTCGGTATCTTTTCTGTTCAAGAAGAAGTTCGATAACATCAAGGATTATCAAGAACGCAAGCGAAGGCGAATGGAGGTAGGATGTAAACTGAAGTAGAAATGGGAAAGTTGTACCTCATTTTTTTATAATACAGAAGTTAAAAAATAAAAATAAGGAACATACTTGTGCAATGAATGCGCTACGATGACTTCCCCGTTCACTTTCTTATACTGATAAGTATTCCAGTAACACTTTGGTCTGTTGTTGGCTGTGAACTTCTCATGGTAACACAGGTGATCCACAACTTTTCGGTCCGTCTCATGTTTGTCAATCTACCATTAAATACTTATCAGTACTTATTTAAGCTTCTCTGTTTGGTCATTATTCTCGCTTACACATGTATAAAAATTCAACTGAGCAACTATTGAAAACCAATTAAAATACTATTGATTTTGACTAAAAACTTTTTTTTTATGAATTACGATTACAGTATTACATGAATTACGATACATCCACAGACAAACAGACATAACACATTGAATATTTCTCACTGTAAAACATCGTCGCTGAAACATTAGCGCCATCTGTTGAGCACACTGTGGTGGGTAGTACGCTGAACAGATGGCGGTAGTGTGTAAACGTCAAACGCAAGGAAAATGGCTATGCGCGCCACAGGTGGCGGTACTACCAACTACGATACTTTTAAATTGACCGTTAAATGCTTATTCGATAAACAACTTGAGAGTGTTATGTCTGTTTGTCTGTGATACATCTTTTGTTCTAGCATCTTTTTCAAAAACACATGTTAGCATCTTAAAACAATGAAAAACCTTCTGTGACTTTACTCGAGACAGTAGTTACATGGGATATACAACTAGAATAGGACATACAGAATGTCATACTCCGTCCGATTCACTAAGTTAGTGCTAAAAAAATGCCGTCATTTTATGTTGTGTGTAGAAATCTTGTTTTGTTGGGGATGAACGGTCCGAATCTTGAAACATCAAGCTTCTTTTTTTAGCACAATCACAAACATTGGCATACTTCGGCACAGCTAAAACATTCGGCACTGATTGACGTGTGCAGAGTTGTTTTCTCAAAAATCTGGCTAGTGGAAAACTACAAAATGAGGAGAATTGACGAAAATTTTACTCAGTCTAGGTATAGTACCAAGAATCCAATCTTTACTTTTCTCATATTTGGGATTTTTTTTCCTGGAAAAACATAAGGCAAATTTACTCATCGCTTAGTTCCTGCACTTTTTTTTCGATTTATGAGTAAACTGAACTAACATTTTGGTTGATCTCATTGGCCGTGTAGATTTTGATGGACATGATGCAATTCGTTTTGCTGGAACATACTTTCAACCTTTGGTGTGTGAGGTTTGCTTTGGACTTATGAAGCAATGAAAGGTCCCAGTGCTGAACTTGATATTTTTAAATTAATTGAAGACCTCTTAAAAATAAGCCAAATATAAATCAATAAATCGTTAAAAACAGACACAGCTCAAGAGAAATTCAATGTAGCTTACGAACTAACATTATTTAGAGTATGATGTGTTACTGTGGATCATGGGGCAACTTTAGCTAGGTATAATTGTCCACCGGCGGATCTGCATCTGGTCCAGGTTGTCTGCAAAACTCGTCAATGTAATGTTTAACTGGCATCGTTATTTTCATCCAAATTTGAGTATAGTGATTTTGGCTAGTTTTTAACCAGGACGTTGGTGGGCGGGCCTAATCTGATGCTTCATAGTGGTGCGTTGGAGACGGTTGGTTTAGGTCCGGCATCGTTGGCACATGCCGTGACAGAATAGCATGCGATGAGGATTACTGAGCTTCCCCTCTCTGATGAACCACTGCATAAGAGAACCAAAGTTCTAGTCTGAAGTGTCAGTATCACACTTGTTACTCCTTTATTTGAAAGCCGCGTTGTAGTACGCTTACGTATAGGCACTGACGTTGGGTGCGATACTGGCGGATTTTGCCGCAAATCACTCTTATTTTATTTATTTTTACGCAGATAGATTTATTTGGGTTTGCAAGGGAATTATACTAGGGTGAGTGTACCAGTTATGGCCATACGTTTCTATTATGGTGTGTTCCAATTATGGCCTATGGAATTCCCATAGGCCATAATTGGAACACACCATAATAGGAACGTATAACCATAACTGGTACATCTACCCTACTATGTGTCATTTCCTCAAAACCCCCCAACAACCGACCTTTTCAATCCCTTCCTTTTCCCATGGCGTTCAAGTGGTCCGCATAGACTATTCAGCCATTACCCTTCCTTTATCCTCGGCTTTGGATTGACTTGCGCTCCCATTGCCCCACCAAACGCTGCAAAATGAAAATGAAATGAAAATGAAATTTGAGTATAGTGATTTTATTAGTCACACTCTTTAAAAGAAAGGGCACATATACGGTAGATCACCGACTAGAGAAATCCGATCAAGTCCGTAATGAGTTTTTGTAATACTAGTAGGTTGTATGTCTACCTTACATTATACTACACTTTTTTTTTTAAATTTGTTTATTTTAAATGGCTCTATGGCGGGAGCTTTACGGAGCCGATGAATCTTTTTAGAAGCATTATTGCGAATTTTATCTCCAGTTAGACTTCAATTACACTTCTTCGGATGTTAACATTTGACCCCTTTGTTCTCAAGCTTCCAGCTGATCATGTTTACATAAAAAAAACCAGCTGATGAATTCGTTTGCGCGCGAAAACGTCAAGGAAAAGCTGTAATGGTAAGAGATCTAAAAGCCATAGAAGATTGTGGCAGCTTCCAAATTTCGTCGAGGAAGTCTAAATATTCGTAGAAAACACAATACAAATATCACTTAAATCTACGTCTAGGGATGGGACTGATTATTGCCGGTTCATTCGAGGTTCAATGGTTTATATCAGGGTCTGCATTTTCGAAACAAAAAAAAAAAAAAAGAATTTCTTGTTATCGAGTCGACAGGAATCACGATTAACATTCTTCCTATCAAATATAATATATCGCTTGTTTCGTTCGTCAAGTTCATACGTTCATTTAATTTGAAGCAAAGACTTGTAATGAATGACTTGTCACGTGTCTCGTCGTCAGGCATCAAAATATAGTATCTGGTTGCCGATAGGGATGGCATCCGGATTATAATATATGCAGGCAGTAATCAATTGTTATTTTATATTAACCGAAAATTAAATTAACGAGGCCATTCAGGAGTCCATGTTGCATCGGGCTCAGGAAAAGTCTCAAATACCCTACAATATGGGTATTATCAGAACGGGGACGATGCGAAGGTGCCGAAAATCGATGTCCAATGTCATTTGGAATCAAAGATGGCGGCCACCGGTTTTCGGAGAGCTCAGGGATTTTCTTTGTGATGCTGCCTTGTATAATTTCTTGGTAAAAAAATACAATACAAAAATTTGTTCGTTATCCCTCGGTGGATTATTTGTAAACAGGTCTCAAATGGTAAAAAGTAAAATAGTGAAGATTTCATGATTTTCTTTATGTAATATTGTTCTACTATACACACCCACAATTGGCCATGTTAAATGGCGGTAGATACGAATATTAATTTAATTTTTGGTTTTTCAATCTATGTCCAATCGGTAAACAAGCCGCTCTTGGAAGTTTAGCAAGTGATTGATTTCCCCTTTCATATTTTAGCTTGGGGAAGCTTATAAAAATGTGTAATAGAATAGTCCATTACCAAATTTTTAATTGCACTACTGAAAGAGAACTAACCGCTGAAATCTGTTTGATAAAAAAAATTGGATTTACGATTTAACGACAATAACAGGTAGCATAATCAACAAAATAATTAAAAATTGAGAGAGTAGTTTTTCGAATGGTAAAAATTATAGAAAATGGAAAAATAGAATCCGAGATAAACAGTTTTGAAACAAATGACGAGTTCATTTTTAGAGTGGTGCGCAAAGAACTCTTACGGAATTTTGGCTTTAATTGATGCAATTTAAAAAAAATATCATACTGAAGTATGTATCTGAAGCACTACAGTGCTTTAAGCAGTAGTTAAAGGAATTAATTGAATTACATCTCTTGCCTGCGTCAGAGTCAAAGCTTATTGCGTGCCCCTATAGGGTATAAAGTAGCAAAAATGTACGGACGTTGGAGAAACATTTAGGCGGCCGGCAGAATGAACGCGACATGTCGCAGTGTTGATATCATATCGATTAAAAAAATTGCTTTCTTGCCTTCATGATGGTACACACTACGAAAAACTCATGTAAATTTCGGTGCTTTGAGACAGACATACATGAGCGTCAATATTGTCACATTAAACCACAAAAGACGAGAAATACAGCTAAATAAAACGTACGTAATCAACCAATTTTACATTATATATCATTTAAAGTTAATCTAATGTAATATATAAAATATTCCATGAAATTCTACAATTTTGTAGGCAACGTTTCTTGAAAGTTTCTTGTTTGCATGGAAAGAAAAATACAAGTTTACATACATGGATCATAAGTAATTTTTTTTTCTGTGTAGGTAATATGTGTAGGCCATATCTGACCTACTATTCTACTAGTTATACCCTTGTACCGCGATTAAACAAGAGAATACAACTGTTATGCAAAAGAACATAATCTACATAATGTTGCATAAAATAAAACTCGCGTCTAATAAATAAAACAGCTGTACGATACATTTCCTCCTCAGTCAGCGGGTTCGTCATTGCACTACGCATTCATGTCCATTGTAGCGGTAAAAATGTTCACACACTCGACTTGGGGTGCAATGTTGGACTCATCTGCGCCCGCTCTGACCCATCAACGCAATTCGCATGGAACAACAACAAGAAATGCCCCCACCTCCCCCTCCACCCCTTGGGGAAGATAGTCGTCTATATGTAGGTAGGTACCTACAACGAGAAGAAATATTACCGACAGTTTTTCAAGCTTTCCACCGCATCTTTTTGCTCCTACCGTAGATTTTCTTATGGAAAGAGCGAACCGCAATCAAAACAAAATGCAAGTGGCAGTGGATACCTACCGATTCACATCAGCAGGTTTAGTAGCGGGCTAAAGCTACCAAGCGTGGATCACTGCGGCGGCGACCGCTAAACTGGATTAACTTGAACTTGAACTTGGTTATCAATCATATGGCATACATTTTTTATGTGTGA